GTCAGCTCACAAATGCTGAGTGCTGAGAAACCGCCTCAACAGGAGAGACGATGGGGGTGGTGGCGGCGTTTGGAAGAACAAAGGCTTTTGACCAACCAGAAGAAAAATGCTCCGTTGCATCAGACTGGTGCTATTTTTTTTTTTTTTTGTCTTTCCCAGTGAGAAAGGCGAGAATGTGCAAATGCAGGGAAAAGCGATGAAGAGGCGAAGGGAGGGGAGTGGGAGGTAAGAGAGGGAGGAGAAAGAAGAAGAGGAGGAGGGGAGCGTCGCTGCGTCTGCCGCTGCTGTCATTCTGCTGCTGCGCACTGCCGCCGCAGGAGGGGTGCGTTTTGGAGGGAGGCGTGTGGTGGACGGGTGAAAAAAAAAAAAAAAAAAGAAGAAGAAGGTGGGGAAAAAAATCAGGACGTTAGGGAAGGGAGCGCCTGGGCAGCACTGCAACAGCTGCAGCGGGAGAAAGAGAGCAAGAGAGAGGGGAAGGAAGCAAGGAGGAGGAGGTTGCAGGATTGCTGCAAGAGGAAACCTTTTTTTCATGCGGGATTTCTTTGTGCCAGGAAGAAGGTTACAACGTGGAACCTCATTTTTCTCCTTTGCCCGCTGATGCTCATCTCTTGGTCCCTCATGCAGCAGGCCTGCTTGGAAGTAGTGTGAAAGGCAGGGAAGGAGATTTCAAGATGGATAGCTCCAAAGCGTACAGCCAAGCAGATGGCAAAGGACTTGGCTTCGGGGCCAAGAGGCCCAAATCCGGGGGGCCTCAGAGTACCCAGCGGGGCGAACTCAAGGTTTACCGGGCGGGTAGCGCCGAGGGCAGGCTGCCTGTGGCGTCCAGTCTCCGCAAACAGAGGTCCATGACCAACCTGGCCGTGCTCACCGACGCCGAGAAGAAGTTGCACCTTTACGAGCCCAAGTGGTGCGATGACATGGCCAAGCCCGGGGTGGCTGGTTTGAGGAAGACGGGCAAGCCGACGGGCAAGGTGCCGGGTGGTGGCGCCCCACTTTCTCGCAACCTCTCCAAGTCGGAGCACTCTCTCTTCCAAGGCAAACACAAGCCGTTTGCCCCTCTGGCGGCAGCTCCCGGCAAGCAAAGTCGCATCCCTCGCGCTCCGTACGCGGAGGTCAAGCCCCTCAGCAAGGCCCCCGAGGATGGTCGGTCTGATGACGAGATCCTCTCCAGCAAGGCCAAGGCGGCCCCGAAAAAAACGGGAGCCGGAGGGGATTCTGGCTCCAAGGGCCAGGAGGAAGAAGGTGCGGACAAACCCTTCCTGAAGGTGGACCCCGAGCTTGTGGTGACAGTGCTGGGTGACCTGGAGCAGCTGCTCTTCAGCCAGATGTTAGGTGAGTGAAGCAGGGTCAGGTTCAAGGAAATATTAGGGTGCTTCGGTAGTGCAGTGCTTCACATTGCTAACTTTTGTGCTGTTTGGATCGATTTGACCAGAGAAACTCTGCAAATTGACACGCGACAGGCTAAGTGGTAGAAAACGGATGGGGGTTGTTTCCGTTGATGGTAGTGTAGTGGTTCACATAGCTGACTGTTGTACAACTTTGATCGATTTTGATCACCATAGTTGTGTGCCTGATCAGGGACTTGTTCAAGGTGTAGTTGCCCAGTTAGTTGAAATGGGTCCACCTTGCCCACTGAGCATGATTAGCGACAGAAAAAGGACGGAGGGAGCTTTCATCATTTGTCGCGTACTTTTGTCGTGATTTACAGGATTGATTTGTTTGATCTGATTTCTGTACTTCTGCAGTTGGCTAACGTTTTGTCCAAGATGTAGATGCCTAGATTCAACTTGGTTAAACTCTAGTGCACCCGCAACCCTGAACAGAAAAAAATGCCGAAAATGGATGGAGGGAGCTTTGGCCACTAGTAATTTAGTGGTTTACATGGCTGAATTTTGTGCAGCTGAGCTAAGTCTGATCACTGCGGTTCTGCAATTGACTAGTGGCGGGTTGTACCTAAGCCAGCTGGGATAGACTCCAGCTGTACTAATCGTTTACAGTCAACTCTGCCAACCTGTTCAGGAGGTAGTCCACCTCTCACCCTAAGTCAGCTGGCGTAGGCTCACCTTGAGTGGCATGAAAATTTAATAGATAGTGTGGTCGTGGAGTGGTTCACCTAGCTGATTCCCCCTCAGGATCAACTCGGCCAACCAGTCAAGGATGTTGTCTGCCTTTGACCTCAGGTCAGCTGGAATAGGCTCCTAGATTGAAAAATGGAAGAATGGGAGGATGAAGATACTTCAAACCACCGCCCCACTCGTGCGAGCCTTAACGAATCCTCAATAGGCCGCTCCCCGCCCAAACAGGCACCACTCGGCACCTGCTCGCACCGCACAGCCTCGACAAATTCTGTTCGCATCACAAAATCGTCTCACACATTCCCTCATAAAATGAATTGTTTTCCAGAGAGACGTTTTCATTGGTAGCGATAGCGGTCATGTGCTGTGCTGCATTGTTCTTCCTCTCCCACAGCGAGTGACTGTGAGTGTGACAAACGTGCGTTTTCCGATCAACATAATTGCGAGGGGAAACACAAAAGCACCCGAGGGCGCAGCGGTGATGATGAGTACCAGCAGCCTGATCTCTCCTGTCAAAGCCTCCTGTTTGCTGCTCCCCAAACCAGAAAAAAAAATGCATAGACCGGTGTGCCATATTGAATAGATTTTCGAGGCGCAGACGCACATTTCACCTCCTCTTGGCTCCATTCCTGTGTTCGTGTGCTGACAGATGGTTAGCACCCTGTGTGCAAATGGCAGACAGATGATGGGGTCTTCTCTTTTGGTGGATAGAGGTCACTTTTATCAGTAGAGTGGGATTGATCACGGATTCCGAAAATCTTTTGTTCTTTTGCAGGCCCCCCTAATGCTCAGTTTTGATTGACGCTGTCAGAGAGGTAATTGAACAATTTGCTTGTGGTTGTATGAACCGCACGACATCATCCTGAGAGCTTGCTCTAATATTCCAGTGACCTTATTTCGCGACATTAATCGAAGCGAGCGACTGCGGGTCAGCATGATGCAGAGTAGTTCCACACCACCGCAAACTGCAGTCATAGTGTTATCTTTGCAACAGCAAGAATGTCCTGCTGCATATCAGGTAGTGAGGATGAAATACATGGATAACATGGTACTGTAAATAAAATCATTAGTTGTGGTATTGATGAGCGCATGTTCCCGGTTACATCGCAATGAATACATTTGAGCTGATTAAACATATTACACATGCTTCGTTAACCCATCTGCATGCCTATCAGGCATATTAGTTGCTGATAAAGAAGCATACATCACAGGTATAGTGCCTTGCAAAAGTATTCACCCCCTTGGCTTTATAACCTATTTTGTTACATCGCAGCCTCTAATTTGAATTTTATTTGATGGACCTGCACAAAATAGTCTGTTTCCAAGAGAAATAAGAAACATAATTTAATATATTTTTTAATTAAAAAAAAAATTAACACATGTGCAAGCTGTATTTATTTACCCCCTTTGTTATGAATCACGTAATAAGCTCTGATGCAACCAGTTACCTTCAAAAGGCACATCAGTGGTGAAATGAAGTCCTCTTGTGTGCAAGTGTTACATGAGCTGTCACATACCTTATCTGAAAGGTCCCAAAGTGTGTAAAACAAAAGCAAGAGGCACCGCTAACCAAACACAGCTATGAAGAACAAGGAAATGTCAGCCTTGAGTCAGGGTTGGGTTAAAAAAAAAAAAAAAAAAAAAAAAAAGAAAATCTAAATTTGTGGATGATCCTCAAGAGCACCATCAAGTCCATCATCATCAAATGGAAATAATCCAGGACCACAACAAACCTGCCAAGAGACGGTTGGTGAGTACATTTGCAGATCAGGCAGTTGGACATTAATCAGAGAGGCAGCACAGAGATGAAACAAAAACAAAACAAAACACTGGAGGAGATGCAGAGTTCAACAACAGAGGCTGGAGTATCTGTCCATTAGGACCACAATAAGCTATGCATTCCATTCCATTCTTTTTTTTTTACTTTCAGCTAAAAATAAGAAGACATGTTTTGAATGAGCAAACACGGCATATGAGAGACTCCCGAAAGGTATGGAGGAAAGTACTCTCTTCAGATAGGAGTGAAATGGATCTTTTCGACCATCAAGGAAAACATTGTCTGTGCATCATCTTCAGAACACCATCCTCACAGTAAAACATACTGTGGGGATGTTTTCCAACAGCAGTCACAAGGAAACTCGTCAGCGGAGAGAGAGAGAGAGAGAGAGAGAGAGAGAGAGAGAGAGAGAGAGAGAGAGAGAGAGAGAGAGAGAGAGAGAGAGAGAGAGAGACTCTCTAGAGGAGTGGTTCTTAACATGGGTTCGATCGAACCCTTGGGGTTCGGTGAATCAGTCTCAGGGGTTCGACGGAGCCTCTGCCATGAAGGTTAAGACACACCCGACTCAACATGTCAATTAGTTGTGACACGCCCGCCTGGCCATCAGTGGCTGCAGGTGATCACATGACATGACTTGTCCAATCACTGCTGCGGGAAATTTAGTTTGCTCAGTAATCAAAGTGTGACTGTCGTGATCGTACGTCATGCACGGTTCATTTTGTGCACAATTAAAAACAACTTATACTTCTTTCTTGAAATTTTATTTAGTTTTTTTCCAGTTTCATATATGCGTTTCCTGTGTTGAATTTCTAAACAAAACAAAACAAAAAAAAAAAACCTTTCTATTTTTCTCTAATGAAGGGTTCGATGAATGTGCATATGAACTGGTTGGGTTCAGTACCTCTAACAAGGTTAGGAACCACTGCTCAAGAGTCAAACAAAGTGTGGGGGGTGAATACTTTTGCAAAGCGCTGTATGTGTGGAATTCTATTACCTGGATCCAATTACATTGTTTTATTTATAGCAACTGCTAAATGTCTGGATATTGCAGGATGAATGGGAAGTTCTATTGGACATTATGAATGCGTTTGTACTGCAGAGAAACTGTTGGAAGTGTGTTTTTTGTTTGTTTGTTTTTTTGGTAGCTTCATTGTCGTTTCGTAGGTTTGTGCGATATGATCAATGAACAGTTTTTTTTAAAAGACAATTTAAAAGTTGCATCGACACAGATTCCAGGTCATAAAAGGGAGACAGTTAAATTGGCACTCACATAAAAACTAGAAATAGAGGGCAGCATGGCGGGGCTGTGTGTTGACCTAACATTTCATCGTAATGATATGTGATCGGCCATGCAAGAGTTTCTCAAATGTCGCAATATCCCCCAAGACTTATGCCGAGAGAAAGGAAGACGGGCATGGAGTCAGTGGTGCTGCCTGCGACGATAGAAGGGATCACATACTTAACTTGCTGGCATTTTAAGGAAACCGCTGTCCGCAGAGTAGAAGTATTTATTTGTTTGTTTATTTATTTATTTATTTTGCGGGGTGTAGATGTAAGTTTCCGACCTGGTGACCATCCCAAAACTAGGTTGTGATCCTAATGTGGCACATCTACCAAACAGGAAAGTAATCACAGGACTGGTTCGACTTATTTGAGCGAACAGCATTCCTCACTACGTCCTCCCTACGTTCTGTATACGCCGCACATCTGCAGTGTGTACAGGAGAAAAGCCATCGCTTCTGTCTTTTTTTTTTTTCAAACCATAAATCAATGCTCCTGTCAAGTGCTTCCTTGAGATCTCTCTGATCTAACTCTTTGCTTCTTGAAAATTGAATGCGAGTTGTTACAAGGTGCTCGTTTCAAATCTCAAATTCTTTTTTTTTTTGTGTCGCACTTCGGTTGCATCTTTCATTTACAGGAATTTCCCTGTTGTCATCCACTTAAGAAGGAACACGCTTTCCTTGAGCCGTATGCGGCTATCATTGCGATGTGATAGCCATGATCAGGAAATTTAATCATCTCCAGTAGTATAAGCCAGTGTACTAAGAGGTTAAATGTATTACTTTTCACAAAACTTACCGAGCATCGTATTTGCTTTTTTAAATCGATTCACAGATCCCGAGTCGCAGAGGAAGCGCACGGTACAAAACGTCCTCGACCTTCGCCAGAATTTAGAAGACACCATGTTGAGTCTACGGGGCTCTCAGCAAAGCCACAGGTGAGCACAACACCAACAAAAGTAACCGTCACACAAGTAGAAGCAGAACTTCACTTTATTAAAAGTAATGAAACAGCCTCAGATCAAGTGGCAACAACAACATAACACTCTTCCTTCTGGGATAGTGCCAAGAATGATTGTGTTCCAGACTGTTGTAGTCCAACGCACTCTGGCTGCTGCTCGAAAGTGGCTCTGAATCTTCACCCCAGCCAACTAATCATCTTATGGGCAGAGACACTCGGTGTCGGGGGGAGCTGGTTATCTTCGGAATTTGCTCCACTGTTTTCTTAAAAAAGGCATTGGTTGTTTAATTTCATACCATTCAGACACAACTGTACGTATACAAGCAATAAAAAAAGTAACATTCCCATACTACAGTAAAGCCTTTAACTCTGATGATGGAAAATTGATGCATGCCTCTCTCCAAACTGGAGCAGGTCAGTTCAATTCCTCTGCTGATAAATTATCCAACAAGGACGACTAAAAATACTCCAATGGTCGTCGTCGTCATAGTATTTATTGAGGTAACTCAGTGCCTATAGTTATGTCATGAATAGCGCACTCACACAAGATGTTCCCATTCTTGCTGAGACTACTTTTCAACCCCTTGACCCATTTACAAGAAGAACACTTTACACAGCACAGAGAAATCGGCATTTTTCCACTCCGGATGCATAGTTCAAGTTGACCATCTGAAGTCAAATGCCCCAAAACAGAAATGGAAGCGTACCTAATGCAGTGTCTTCTGCAATTGCGTGTCCACAGCTGTGCGGACAGCAGCAACGTGGGCTACGACAGTGATGACACCAATGCTCGCAGTATGTCCAGCCTGTCCAACCGTTCCTCGCCGCTGTCCTGGCGTCACGGGCAAGCCAGCCCTCGCCTCCAGGCGGGCGACGCCCCGTCCTCCGCGGCGGGGGGTTACCAGGGTTCCAAGACGCTCACCCAGTACGTCGCCCAAACCATGCCGGCTCGCTGCTCGGGTAGGCTGAGCGGGACATCACGTGTGGATCTTCTGGACGACGGAGACCTCAAGTCCGGCTGCTTGAGCGATAGTGACCTTCTGGGGAAGAACCTCCCGGATGATGATGACAACCTCACTAATGGGTAAGTAGCATGGATGTATAGGATGTGCTGTTTCCGTGGCAACAGGCATCCTTGTTTCCAGTGGTGACTGCAAATGCCCTTTTTGGTGTCTATTGGCACATTTCAACCACAGCAATGATCTTTTTTACAATTTGCAGCTATGCCACAAACTGTACAGTAATCCCAAAATAATACACAGTCATATAATATCAAAGTTCTCTTGCAACATTTCCCTCATAAAAAAAAAGACTGGGGGGGGGGGTGATAAGACTTGCAATATCGGTGATGCTGTTTTCATCACTGAATAAAACTCCGCTTTACAGTGTGTTTGGGATTTTGTCTTCTCTCCACCCTTTTTTTTTCCTTACCAACCTACATCACCATTCTGGTCTCATTCCATGCTGTCGGACTCTTATATTGCCTATCGACCACTGGGCCACCCCATTGTGAGGTCGAAATGCTAGTTTGTATTTTGATGTTCTCGTTAGGCACCACGGCGGTCAACTGGTTAGCACATCCGCCTCACAATGAAGAGGTGCGGGGTTCGATTCCAGCTGTGGCCTTCCAGTGTGGATTACTCCGGGTACTCCAGCATTCCCAAAACATGCGTGGCAGGTTAATGGAACACTCTCAATTGTCCCTGGGTGTGAGTGTGAGCGTGGATGGTTGTTCGTCTCTGTGTGCCCTGCGATTGGCTGGCAACCAGTTTAGGGTGTACCACGCCTACTGTCGGAAGACAGCTGGGATAGGCTCCAGCACGCCCGCGACCCTTGTGAGGAAAGCGGATTCGGAAATGGATGGATGGATGAATGGATTGTTCAGATTATAGCAGAGTTCAGTTGAAGTTGAGGCAAACTAAAAAGCAGCAAACGGCAGGTAATATCAAGGGAATCGTATTCTCACTGCCCTGTTTTTGCAGTAATTCAACAACATTGACATATATGACAGTGTCTTCTTGCAAATATTGAACAATTCCGCTCTGTTCAATAGGCGGTGGCCGGCCACCCGCTTCCATCACTATTCTTGAAAATCAAAACACTCCTTTGTCAAAGTGCTCACAACGGGAGGTTTTATTTTTCCACCGTGGAGGCAATCTTAAAAACCCTCCAGGTTTTCCCTCAGTTATGCAACCAGACCAGAATAGATCTTTTGAGGTACACGAGTCGTTTTTGATCATTTTGGGCGTCAAGAACAGTTGACAGGAGAGGATTTAAAAAGGATGAAGATCGACAGCAACACTCTGAGAAGAGATGAGAAAGAAAATCAGGACGGTCCTCTGGTGTGGTTTCGGAGCTTTTTATCGTTGCTGGGCATGCGGATGGGATTTGAGCTCAGCCTCTTGAGTGTTTGGAAGGGAGGACTTACTGGAAAGTGCATTAAGGAAAGAGATGAAGATGGTTTTATATGGCTGGAAAGTGGAAAATTGAACATGCTCAAACGCATCAATGTAGAATTTATATTATTAAAAAATGTCATACCACTGAAGACGCCCTCCTTTTTATAAGTAGGATGCAATATTTTCACTCATCATTTGATTTCAGTATGGCGCCACGTGCAAAGGCCTTGACAGAAGATCCTCACTAGTGTCATAAAGATCAGATGATGCCTTGGACAAAATATGGTCAAGCGGGACTCTGGAAAATGGTGTACAAAACAGTGCTTCTCTCAGTGCACAAAGCAAGGCCCACAAAAGAATGTTTGGATGAGATTGGTGTGGAAGAAGTCTATCAAACACTAGAACTTACAAATTCTCAGAAGCACACGCTTCAAAGTCTTGTGAAAGGTCTTACCACAAGAGTGGAAGCAGTCTTAGCTGCTAGACTAAATATTTTCTGTAGTCAAACATAATGTGATGAAAGTCCAGTCAAAGTGGATTCAACGATGATGTCATTGAAATTTTTACAGCCGGGCCCCAAACTTGTTTTCCCGCCCCAACGGACCCATTTCACGTAAAGCTGTACTTCGACGGAGCGGCACAGAAACAAAAACAAATGATTAAAAATAATCATCCATTATCGTCACTCCATCGTTATTACAGGCCATATCAAACTGTCATCAGTCAATCAGTCCATCGTGTTAATTTATCCGCATTTCCGTTATTGCTTCCATCACTAAATTTCACCAGTCTGTCTGTTATCAGTCTGTCAGGGCCCCCACCCTCACCAACTCCGCCCCCCCACATTATAAACTAAACAAACTTGGATAGTGAATCATGCCGTGACCTGTAAATAAGTCCTCCAAAATACCACTGAATCACTGCCAGTTCCTCTCCTATTGAAGATGCTTGTCAGAGGTCAGTTCGAGGCCACCTTGCCGCTAAGGCAGCACTCCTTTCGCCATTAGTGGTCACCGCCCCTCACCACATACACAATAAATGTGTGAGACGACGGCCTATTGCTCACTGCAAATGCATTGTGTAAAGGGCTTTATTTTGAACACAATAGCCGTAATTAGTGGGAGTCTTGAGATTTTTATTCTCTTCAATCGGCCACTTTTTCTCATCTTGTCTTCTATAGCACAGCATGTTGTAAGATAAAATATCATAGCCAGGGTTCCTGAAAAATTAAGGATGTCAAAGTCATTTTGTTCGCCATGAAAAGAAGAGGTGCGAGGGCTCATTCTTTGTTGCTCACAACACTAAGATGGGGATTGGAATTGTCGTCTGATGTATGAGGTCGGTGACAGACCACCAGTAACTGTGAGTACAAGACGACAATGGAAACAGCTGCTGCCTGGTTTTTAATGCCCTGGGGGAAGTTGTTCCATGCGCGCATATCACGGAATTGGCATGTCAGAGACCAACGCCAAGGTCAGCCCCCCCCCCCCCAAAAAAAAAATCGGTCCAAAAAAAAATAAATAATCACCGCGTTTTGCCCGCAATGTGTCAAGAAAATACCAGTCTCAGCTGGTAAAAGGCATCACTTGTGGGGGAAATAGTAGGCTCCAAAGACACGCCAAGGTATGAAAATAGTGGCTGCTGTTTTTACTTTTCACCTCTCTAATTTGCAAGGGTTTCTCGTCTGTAGCTCCATGGGTTTCTATTTATTTTCTGTATTACAAATCTGCTTTTCTACTCACACTTTAGAAATTCCACGCTACATTTTCAGTCCTACTGTACATCCACACTCACACTCACACACACACACACACACACACACACACACACACACACACACACACACACACACACACACACGCACACACTCCAAAACTCATTGAGAACCGTCGTGCACCAGCTCTTGAAAATATATCAGGCTGCTCCAATGTAACCATGACAACAAGCTAGAAATCATCAGTAAGACCCCCCTATCCCTTAGTGAGGCTTACTTCGGCACTTGTGATTAGCCTTTAATAATTTCAATATGATGATCTTAGTCATCACCTATGTAAGTCTGATAATAATGTTGAATGGCTTGAACTAATCTTTAAGTGGCACATATCTAATATTGACAGTACAAAGCTGTACTGTAATAGAACAAGCTCGATAATGTGTATAATGGATATTGATCAGCCACATTGCACAGGCATGTGTACGCCGCATCATCACTGCGACTTCGGTATCACTCATGTCATACAATACATCATTACTCTCTTACAGTATATCTCATCCAGCTACATGAGCAAAGCAGCAGCATCTATCTATACTATACTGGGCGACACTTTATTGATACTCTATCATACAATTACCATTTTGTTGTTGTAGCATAATGTACCATGCCATATTAAAAAAAAATGACGATCATATCGAACTATGGCCATCCAATATTGCATCATCATATAACATGCCATACACTTACATACCAAACTATATCATAACATACATAGAGTACCATAGAGTAAACATACCGTATCGCACCATACCTTGCAATTACTGGTAGCACCGCACATATCATCATCATCATCATCATCATCATCATACCATACAATTATCAGGCTGTATGCCATACCAAATCATGTAATACAAATTCCCAGAGATGGGCACTTAATCGTATTTTGCCGGTCCGTCCTCTGTCCCCAACCTAGGTACCCTTCCGTCATTGTCTCACCGTTTTTATTCGCAGGACCGTTCCATCCCAGCGACGGAATGCTCATCTCTGTCAATTACCACGCTATATTGAATCATACAATGACCATTTGGTATCAGATCATACCAAACCATATTATTCCAAACAATTAGCATACCGTACCATGCCAGACTATACTTTACTATAACATACCATACGTACTGTACCACACTGTATCATAAGGAATTTTACAGAAATGTGTTTAATGGGGTCATGGGCCATGTAGAACCTTCAAAAAAAGTTTTAAGTGTGTGTGTGTGTGTGTGTGTGTGTGTGTGTGTGTGTGTGTGTGTGTGTGTGTGTTTTGCTAGTAATTCTGTTTTTAAGACATTTACATTAGATAAGGCAAGAATTAAAATTTAATAAAGCAGTATTAGGAAGTCGGCATCCATGCATTGCTAATGGACACCATTCTATTTAAACTTTGAACAACAGTCTTGCCTGAGCCAACATTAAGTCTATAGCGTTGTGTGGCTCATTTGTACTGTAAATAAAAGCAGCATGAAGCTATCCACCATGAACGTACAGTGAAATACTGAGGAAGGTGACATAGGACATGTGGAGGTCTGGACAGTGTCTCCTGTGCGTACTATACATTAAGTACACCGCAGCATAGTGGCAGCAATGCAGTGAACACAAAGCAGACTGGTGCGGCAAGCAACAGACCCCAACAAGGCTCTGGATATGCTGCCATGGCAACCATCCTCCATTGACCCACTGATGGGGCTGCCTTGTGTGTCACTGTGATAACTGCTGAATTGTGTGTGTGTGTATGTGTGTGTGTGTGTGTGTGTGTGTGTGTGTGTGTGTGTGTGTGTGTGTGGTCTCAGGGTAAACTGATACAGAGTGACATTTATCCAATGTCTTCGATATCCAGCCTAAGGTCCATGTACTAGTATGCCCTTAGTCTTCGCTAGTAAGACAATTGAGTGTAACGATGACGAGGGGACATGAGAAGAACTGTCTTACTTGTATTTTTTTTTTTTTTTTTTACAGCACGAGTGCTACTTTTGGCCTGCTAGTACTCGTACAGACCTAAAATGGATATCCTTTATATCAAATATATGGTCAGTCGGGTTTCCATAAAACCGTTGGTGGCTGTATTCAATATTAATAGTGCATAAATGCTGAAGCAAATTAAACATCCTCGTCAGGTAGCTTAACGTCCATGTACTAGTGCGCTATTTGTCTTCACTAGTGGGACAACTTTGGCTTAATAGGACAACTAAATCTTACTAGTGAGGCAAAACTGCGCACAAGGTGACAATTAGAATCTACTAGAATTCCTCATAACGCGATACATTTCTCCCAGTTAACATCAGCACTTCACTAGCAGCACGAGTATAAATACTCTTTCCAGAGTGACTGCTGCCACTATTGGAGGCATGCATTTTTCCTTCCTTTTTTTTAAGTGCATGTTATTCCTTCTTGCTTAAAAGCACTGCTTTAAGATGCTTCCCTGGCAATGTCATCTCCATGGCAACAGAGATAAGGCTGAGTACATGCGCTCAACACTTTGGCACGTATCGTATGACACTCCAAACGGCCTCGCTGGTGGAAACTAAATGCGTACCAACGAAAGACATTCTGGACTTAATGAAGGGTTTTGCTGCAGTCATCCCATCCCGGATTTATGGTCCCTGCAGTCTGCACTCAATTTCCCTTTTCCTGGCTCGGGTCGGACCTTTTTTTAGAGCCTCGTGACTGTTGAAGCTTCACATGCTTTTGACCTCAATTGTGTCCCTGCTCTGATCACACGTGAGTCCTTCAAGGGCTTTGGTCGTTATTTTGCTCAAGATCATTTAGAAGTACATAATTTAGGCTTTTCTTTCTTTTTGGGTTTCCTCTGTTTCTCTATTTTGTGTCTACCTGCATTTTGTACGAAAGACCAAAATTATTAAGCTCCAAAGTTTCTGTGTCGTCAGTCATTGTCAAAGTTTTGGTCGACGACATTTTTACCAGTCATTATTTTTTTCATTTCCATTTGACACCTTCCTCCCTAAAGTAAAGACCGTTGTTATGTATTTACGTGTTAACATGCCGAACAAAAAATTTAAATGCAACACTTTTGATTTGCTCCCATTTTTTCATGGGCTGAACCCAGCAATCTGAGACGTTCCATAAATAGAAATGGCTTATTTCTTTCAAATATTGTCCATAAATCTATTTCAGTCTGTCTTAGTGAGAACCTTTCCTTTGCCGAGATAATCCATCCACCTCAGAGGTGCGGCATATAAATATGCTCATTAGTAAGCATGAGTATTACACAGGCTTGGCTTAGGCTGCCCATAATAAGAGGGCCCTCTTCTTTTAGTTCAGCTCATGAAAAAGCGGAGAAGTGTACTTATGTTTATTAAATACATTTACTTATTACGCGAGCCACCCCCCGCAATCCGTCAAATAGGAAATTCAGGGAGACAAGCACAAATCCAGTGACTAAAGTTCTGAAATTCCTGATCCCTGCAGTATTTTGATGAAAGCAGTTTATTGAGAAAAACAAAAAAAAACCCAAAATTGACCATCAAATGGTTCCTGTTCAGCACTTATGATGGTGAAAATTTGACAGATAATCTCCATGACGTCCAATGAGAGAATATTTTTTCGTTTACCTGCATTGGGGAATGCCTTGTGTTCAAATGTCATCTGATTTGACCAAATTTGTAGGATTCCAGGTCAGTCTAGTAAAACAAAGTTGAATTCAGAGCTGATGCAAATGGATCATCGAGGATGGAAAATAATAACTTTAAAACATTCAGACGCTCAAATCAGTCTGTTGGAATTTGTTGTGCCCTGGAGGATCCTATACGTAAAGAGTTTTAACATCATTGTTTTCACGTTACACACAAAGCCAGATTGAAAGACATCTGAGGGCAACGTGGCGTTCCCTCAGCAGAGGGTCAGCAAATAAATGACTCAAGAAAAAGAACAAAACAAAAAAAAAACCACCCACGTTGCTCTGTCAGCTATTTAAATAATGAAGCATCACTCACTGCGGCGCTTTGAGGGAGAAAAAATAAAAGTGAGACGATGTGCTGGCTCATGAGATGAGTTCATCCTATAATGCTTCGTGCTTTGAGTCCTTTTGCCAAGTCTTCTTTCTCATGCTGACATGGCACTATTGACGCATCGGGGTTAACACTGACCGAAAAGGCCACATCCATTTGGGTGGGGTAAAAAAATAGATCATGAAACATCGTAATTCAAATGTGCACTAGCCATAATGTGGCTAGAAATCGGGCGAGGGTGGAGGGGACTTTTAGGTCTGAAGTCGACAGGCAATTTTTTTTTCCAGTCCAGCTTTGCTTTCAACCACTGTCTTGGTAACCCCAACACGAAACATGACCGTCTTTTGTTGTTATTATACAAATATTTACTGACTGATCTACCTCATTTCTTTCTGTGTGAAGTGCAGACGTGGGAGGCTCAGTTAAAACACATGATGCCTCCTGCTTGAATAGTAATACCAAAGATCAGGGATGGGCAACAGAAATCCTGTAGAGGCCACGATATTGAATCAGGGCGACTGGGGGACTGCATAGGACCACACACTTCCTAATATATTTCATATTTGACCAGACCATTTTCAGTGCATGTAAAAAAGATCCGCCATCCATCCGAACCCAAGAACAAAGGGTGTGAAGCAAACGATGAAATAACTCCAGATTGTCATTTATTTTCCAGTGCAAAGAGTTCTGTTGCATAAAACTTACCATTCAAGGACTGCACAAAATGGCTGAACAAGAACCCAGCATTAAGTGCAAAACCTCTTTGTCTTTTTTCTTCACAATAATAAAGTCACCCAAAATTCTAATATTATTTAAATCCTATGCACGTCCTGCATATTATTTCAAATGCTCAACAAAATATTAGGCCTACTCACATTTTAGTGTAGGGCAGTAAGACCCAGTGTGAGCACAATTAAGATGTGTCTGTGATATTTGTGATATTACGACTTAACACTACAGTCGACCCCATGCATATGCGGGAGTCATCATTCTCTGTTTCACATATTATTATTTCAGTTTTTTTTTTATTCATATTTTGGATTTTTCTCGTGTTTTCTAGGATTAATGTCCCCGATTGCTCTCCGTTTTTTGTTGAATGTCCATCAGCGTTTAAAAAAAGAAATAGATATATAGATATATATGACTAAAAACAAAAAATAGTTTTCTTTAAATAATATGATGCAGTTCATGAGAAAAAACAAAAATATGAGCAAAATCCTTTTTTTTAAGAAGACGATGATGATGCACTACAGAGGCAGACACAACAATCTTATCAAAGAACATCAATGAGACAGTTATGCCAGCATGTCTGCAAACTGCAACCATTACATGAATACAATATTAAATACAAAATGTCAATGTCAAAAATGAAGCATTCTTCTCTTTGAATTTGTTTTCACTGTTACTGGATCTCATTAAACTTGTGCATGTGGGCCCAGATGAAACATTCACTGAGTGTATACTCACTCTAGCTGCTCTGATGTGTATTGTCTTCACCTCCTGCAGTGGTCATTTTCCACAGCAGAGAGAGTGCTAATGAGAGGGGGGAGCTCCAAAACTATATACTAGTCATACCTCCCCGGAGTTCCTGCATGGCGTCATGTGGGGGATTTGTGGTGCCACAGACAAAAAATATATACTGTGTGTGTGTGTGTGTGTGTGTGTGTGTGTGTGTGTCCGTGCGCTATATATATATATTTTTTTTTTTTTTAATTTGCACATATGCAACAATATAATAAAATGTAACACGAACTTTGGTATCCAAAATAATTCCTCAAATGTATTAATTGCTGTCATTTATTGATAGCCTATAAGATTCATTGTTAACTCGGAAAATGCGAACACTAGCATTCAAATCAAAACTTATTTTCGGTTGCCATCTCTTTTTCAGCCAAAATTAGATTCACAAAGTCATAGCTAATCATGAAAATGCTGACAGTGTTACATTTTAAATGTCATTTAGTCTTTCCTAACAACACAAATTGAGAAAATCTGTCCACATTTGAATCCAAATATTTGCTAGCGTATTCAATTGGCCAGTTTTTGCCAAAGAAAGCTAATGAATACTCAAAAAAGTATTTATTCAAAATAATTTTAAGGATTGCTTGCATTTAATCTTTTACTTCAACATTACTATGTCTTATCACTAATGAAGTATGATTAATGTGGTTCAAGTCGACACTGTCATTTCCATCTTAAACATAAAATGTTAAAACCAGAGACAACGCGTCAAGGTTAATCCTCTGAGAGTTTACTGGCAGTTCCTTGCTAACTTTAGGCTTCTTAGCCAGAAATAGCAATTAGTGGGCAACCAGAAACGAAGCAAACCGACCCTGAGAGTTTCCTAATAGTTTACCTTTTTCCACTGTAGCACATTTCTGAGAGCAGGCCAGCAGAAACTTGACAACCAACTGTGTAATTATACTGGGTTTGAAGGCGTTTTTTTTTTTTTTCCTTTTAATATTTACCTCCAGGCGGAGTTGTTTAACTCTGTACAGTTCGTTTGACTCAGGCACCCGTGGCCCCACACAGGGAAGTCTGTTTTCACTTCGTGGGCACCAGGCCCGATGAGGCAGCATCTGTTTCAAGGCGACGCAGGAGGTTGACAGGGGGATGATGGGGAGTGGTGCTGTCACTCCACTTTTCCTTCACCCGGACCAGACCCTGAACTCACCATGAACCCGTCAGAGGTCTTTTTTAAATCAGGCGTGATTCAGCGGCGCACCCCGGAAAAGTTTTCATTAAAGCAACTGTTTATAAAGGCTAAAATAAAAGGTCAGGAATGAGCAAAATCACCCGTATACATTAGTCGGACTCTTTTCTTTTTTCCTCCAGCTAACATCAGGATTCATCGCCTCGACTGATCTGGCCATCATTTGGTCGTCATTAGCTTTATATATATTTTGGTTCTTCCTTTCAGCTGGGATGAAAGCAGCTCCATCAGCAGCGGACTCAGTGATGGTGACGGCGAGGTCTCGGATAACCTCAGCTCAGAGGAGTTCAACGCCAGCTCGTCCCTCAACTCGCTCCCGAACACGCCACTGGGATCCAGACGCAACTCTTCCATCATGGTGAGCTGGAAAAACTGTATTTAAAACAGCAACATGTAACCATTTGACCTCGGGCTGGGATCTTATTCGATTGCATCGATTAATGAAGCGACAAGCTTCATTGATTCCTGTTAACAAATCGACAACGTGAGTGGAAACATTTTCACATTGTTTTGCAAAGAAATCTTACAGATGGGCCAATGGCAAATCCTGCTTGCATTAACAAATCTACCAAAACAGTAAAATGGGTGGAGTAATTTTTATATAGCCACAATTTTAATCGTCTAATTGAGTTGGGATATAAACATTTTGGAGTACAAACACCTTCCCCCACCACTAAAGTGTGAGTAAATCTTCAGAATGGATCAAAATCTCTTCACTCAGAGTACGTGAGGCTCCTACTCTCAGCAGCTTAAAATCTACTTTTTACGCTCTTCCAAATGTAAATGTTTACTCTGTCTTTTTCAGAGTATGAGTTTCCTTAATCAGAGTAAAATGTACTCTACGAATTTTATTATTGCATTACAACTTGTGGATGCAACAGTTCAGACGCAACATGTGGACTGTATGTGGTGCGTAGACATATCACCAAACACAAAATGGTGTTTAATTTCACACCTAATGTGTGGGCAGGCAACCAAGAGAGCCAACTATTTGTATGTTAGCATTTAAAAAGTAAATGGTGCATATGTCTGCCATAAATCTACAATAGTTTGGGGGTTTCTATCCTTGTCGTTGTTTTCCCTTCCACTGCTCGGGGCAGTTGATTTATCTTTTCTTCTTTGCCTCTGGAATGCAGCTGAGATGAAACAAAGATTACAACTCGCAGTGCAGTCGGTGGGAGATAGCAGACGGCACGCGATTGTTATCCTCACTGCGCCTCTCCTTTCGCAGCAGCTCCGGACCGACGCTGAGAAGCGCTCCCTCGTGGAGAGCGGACTCTCCTGGTACAGTGAGGACGGCAAGGCGGGCCGCAAGCTGGACGCGTGCGGGTACGACACGGGTAGTCTCAAGACAGAAGCGCCGAGCAAGTGGAGGAAGAAGCCGCCAAGTCTGAGCGACGAGCTGAGCGTCAAAGAGGAAGCCAGGAAGCCCCAACGTCTGGCTGCGTCGGGAAGCTTTAAGAAGAGTCGGAATCCTCCGGTGGGGGTCACCTCACCTATCACCCACACGTCACAGAGCATGCTGAAGCTGGCAGGTGAGAACCATCATGTCATGGTTTGCTAAAAAATAGATCTCATTTGTAGAGTGGAGAAAGTGGGACTCACAGCCCTTTGTTGGGAATTTTTGTTGACTTAAAAATGAGTGTGTGGTGTTTTATTGTCACTAATCACGAAATAAAGTTGAATGGAGGGTGAAAGTGTAGCTCGTGATTGACACATCTTTCTCACAGTTTCTCCGTGCTTGCATGGGTTTTCTCTCTGTACTCTAGCTTTCTCCCACTTTCCAAAAGCGTGCTTGTTAAAGCCGTCACACACTGAGCCACGTGGTCCATCCTCACTGAACTGTTGTCCAGTGTGCGGGATTTAGCTACTAGTTGTGGTGAGATGCTGATGGTAGGCCACTCGTTTTGGTGCACGGTGTTGCAACATCACAAACGTAACAGCCACTCAAAAACGAACAGGAGCTTTCACATACAAAAATCTGTTCCCAGGTTCTAAACAAGTGAGATCCAGCCGGCCGTCGGCAAGCCCGACAAATACAGTGTATACTGTATACATACATGGTGGTCCAGTGGTTAGCGCGTCGACCTCACTGTGCAGAGGTACCGGGTTCAATTCCAGCTCCGGCCTCCCTGTGTGGAGTTTGCATGTTCTCCCCGGGCCTGCGTGGGTTTTCTCCGGGTACTCCGGTTTCCTCCCACATTTCAAAAACATGCATGGCAGGCTGATTGAGCACTCCAGATTGTCCCTGGGTGTGGGTGCTAGCGCGGATGGTTGTTTGTCTCTGTGTGCCCTGTGATTGGCTGGCAACCGGTTCAGGGTGTCCCCCGCCTACTGCCCTGAAGACGGCTGGGATAGGCTGTCACTAAACACAAAGCAGCAGTCTCTCTTGATGGCAACCCACTTCTTTCTTGACAATCTCACCATGGTTTTGTGGTTCAATAAACGTCATGCTGTGGAAAATACAGTATGTGGCGTCTCATAACTCGATACGGCATCGTAGTTTGTGCAGGGCTCTATCGCTCAATCCGTGAGTGTGTGTCAGCAACCGTTCACAGTGGTCCAATCCAGTTGGGTTCGGCTGCGGAACTTAGTTTCATAAAAGAATTAAAATTTTCCATAGTTGTGACTGTGAGCGTGCATGTTTGTTTGTCCGTACTCTATGTTGGGTGTGATTTGTTAACAAACAGTCCAGGTTCTGCCACTCACCCAAAGTCGTCTTGGATAGGCTCCAGTTCATATGACCCGAGTAAAGACAAATGCTAGAAATGAAAGAAACGAAAGAAAATGGATCGATGTCCGCTGTATTTTAATGAGTGTCTGTGGAGTTTGCATGTTCTCCCGGGCCTGCGTGGGTTTTCTCCGGGTACTCCGGTTTCCTCCCACATTTCAAAAACATGCATGGCAGGCTGATTGAGCACTCCAGATTGTCCCTGGGTGTGGGTGCTAGCGCGGATGGTTGTTTGTCTCTGTGTGCCCTGTGATTGGCTGGCAACCGGTTCAGGGTGTCCCCCGCCTACTGCCCTGAAGACGGCTGGGATAGGCTGTCACTAAACACAAAGCAGCAGTCTCTCTTGATGGCAACCCACTTCTTTCTTGACAATCTCACCATGGTTTTGTGGTTCAATAAACGTCATGCTGTGGAAAATACAGTATGTGGCGTCTCATAACTCGATACGGCATCGTAGTTTGTGCAGGGCTCTATCGCTCAATCCGTGAGTGTGTGTCAGCAACCGTTCACAGTGGTCCAATCCAGTTGGGTTCGGCTGCGGAACTTAGTTTCATAAAAGAATTAAAATTTTCCATAGTTGTGACTGTGAGCGTGCATGTTTGTTTGTCCGTACTCTATGTTGGGTGTGATTTGTTAACAAACAGTCCAGGTTCTGCCACTCACCCAAAGTCGTCTTGGATAGGCTCCAGTTCATATGACCCGAGTAAAGACAAATGCTAGAAATGAAAGAAACGAAAGAAAATGGATCGATGTCCGCTGTATTTTAATGAGTGTCTGATAAAGAATTTACATTAAATCTCAAGGGTTCACAAATGCAACACTAAATAATACCGATGAAATATTGAGTGAAAAGGCCAAATACTTTCGACATTTTTTCGAAAACATGTCAGGACTCAGCTAAAACCCATTCACTACTCAGATCTGTACTCAGATAAATAAAAAAAGTACAAAGAAAAAATTAAATTTAAAAAAAAGTGACTCCAGTTGTCTTTGATTATGTGCCCATATTGGATTTTACGTTGACTTTAAAAACAGAGACTTATATTTTTACCTTTTATGAATCAAAAGTCTGGCAGTGATTCACACGTGAGGCACATAAAAGTTCCCCCGAGTAAACACAGATGTGTCTGCTGATAGTGTAACTTGGCTGGAGTGCAAAGGTTCTATGCGCTTTCATCGAATTCATCATTTTGATGGCCTTTAAACTTTCTGTCCGAATTGTTTCCTCTCTGCAGCGCCAAAAAATGACAAGCCGCAGGACAAATCCAAGATTTCCATCAAGACGGCGGGTCTCCAACGGTCACGTTCCGACGCCGGCCGGGATCATCACGTGGATACGCGAAAGCCCCCGTCTGGTTTAGTCAATCCAGTACCGCAGCCTTCCTCGACCCGCAAAGTCCAGCACGCTCAGCGTCATCGGTCGCCCCGCGTCCCGACCCGTCAGTGGCACTCTGGACGCGAGTCTGCTGACCCTGAAGCCAGTCAGCATGGCCTCAGCGAGCCCCAGAGTAAAAGAACCTACAAGTTTGAGCAGCAAAATGTCAAATCGGACCATGGTTGTCCCGGTGAACCAGACCGACCGGGAGAAGGAGAAGGCCAGGGCCAAAGCCGTGTGCGCCGATATGGACGTGGACTGTTCTTCCCTGAAAGGAGATGAGGTTCCATCCGAATCCTCGCGAGAATCCATGTTGAAACTGCACAGCCTGAGACGGACCAGCAGCAGCAAATATCCCGAACTGTCATCGCCCACCACGCCCAGGTGCTGCCATCTCGCCCTTAAGGCATCTTGTTACTTGTTTAGATGAGAGGATAGCATTGGAGATGCATTTGAATTGTTCACAGAATCGAGATGTGACTGTGCAAACTGTGGTAAGTCAATACAGATTTCATGGATTCACGCGACAGGAGGGTGCCCTCACGTTCCAAAAATAAGATTGCATGTTCATTGAAGACTTGAAACTGACCATAGGTATGAATGTGAGTGCGAATGATTGTATGTCTATTGTTGCGTTGTGTTAGGGTTGGGCCATATGGCCTAAAAATGTATCAAGATATTTCAACATTTACTATATATTGATTTATTTTTTTTAACGTATTTAAACTAAGAAAAAAAAACATTGATTAAAGATAAAATAAAACTCAACCAACCAGAGGGAAGAATACCATTCAAAATAACAGGCGGTAAAATTAATTTTCACGGAACGTCCATTATTTTTGCTTGCATTGCAATGCGGTGTCATGTGCAATGTTGAGCAGTTGCTTACCTGTTGAAGATGCTACAAACCATCATTGATACAGTTAGATTAAGATTCATTCGTGGAGCAAATTCATAGACTCCTGGAGTACATGCAGTTGAGCAACTGCCTTGTGTCTACTTTAAAGACATGTTATTGTTTTACCCGACTGGCTAAAAAAAGCACCGGAGCTAGCACGTCAAAGACCTGTCGATCCATCTCGAGGTCTTAGTTTGCTCAATATCATCTCACTGCAAGAGTTACACTGACGTGGCTGGTCTTTTTTTTTTTTTTTAACAAATTAATCCACACTTCGGTTCGGTGTGTACACCACAACCATACATGTGTGTGTGTGCAAACTTCTGTGTGTGTCAAGCGGCTTCTCCTTCTTCTGGTAGACGAGCACTTGGCGACTTGGCTGTGATCACAAAGTGCCTTTGTGCTCAAAATTTCCCCTTTCGTGCTTATAATTGTGGGACAAATCTAATGACACACTGTAACCTGTATCTACAGCATGCAAAATTGTATATTGCTCGGTTATGGTCATTGGTAAAGTTGTGATTCACAGAGCTAACTGTCATTTAGGGATAAATAATTCCTGCTCCATGTTTAAAACCTCGTGACCAGTCCTGGTTGTAATCTGTTTTTCGGTTAGATGGTATAGTCTACAGTTCCTATGCAATCCTCAATCAGATAAGTCCATTAAATGAGGGGATGCGGTTGCTGTATGACTTATTTTGCTGCTCGTGTCTTCTTCCTTTAGGATGTTAGTCAAGTCGTTGGGACGTCCACCGAGTTTAGCTCACCTGGACAAGGTCAACTCCAACAGCCTGGACTCCTGCGTGACCATTCAGGACCTCCCTCCCAAAGTCCCCCCATACTCAAAGCTCCAAGACCTGGCTTCCTCCCACTCAACAACCCGTCTGACGCCCAGCCCGGCGCCCGTGCTGCACATCGACTCTTCCGGCTCATATACAAGTGACAGCCTGGGAGGTTCGCCCCTGCTATATCCCAAACTGTCAACTATGCACCGCAGCATGGAGTCTTTGCCCCTGCAGATGAGTGTGCCCTCTCGAGCCAGGTTTAGCCCCAAAGAGTCGCAGGGTAGTGAGAGGGGAGTGGGGACCTGGGGCGCCGGGAGCAGGACATCTCTCAACCTCTCAGAAGGGTTAGTGGCATCCCAATGACCATTGGAAGGAGTGTTTTAGTTTGTTAGTTTGTTTGAATTGATACCGATTTCTTCTGCTTTCTTTCCACAGGTTGCAGACCGATAGGAACACCTTGCCAAAGAAAGGCTTAGAGTATGTTCATATACATGTGGTCCTCGGTGTACGATGGTCCCAGAAGGTTTTTACCGTGATTCAGACTTAAATACTGCTTTAGCATAGGTTTGGGCAGTGTTTTTCAAACGTTATTCATCCAAGAAACCTACTTTAAGATCCATCCCACAGTACACTGGCAAGTTGAACGTATTACAGAAAGTAAATATATTGTACTGAACTAATGGTGACTTATCTGGTGTGGAATTTGGGCCTGTTCATTTGAACACGAAGCTTTTCTGCTCTTTTATGAATGGTAACAGGTGGAAACACAGGTTTATTGTGCCACCTAGTGGAGGATTATTTCATACTTCAGGCTGTCCTTAGAGAGATGACCAAAATTTTATTATTTGAAGTATGGAAACGAATATTAATTTTCAAACCAATCAATCGAAATTGGATGACTTCACACGTATGGCTATCACTGATTTAGAGACACAGACGTTCCACCTCTCATACCTATCCGGAACTCCGTCGTGAACCGAGGACCCCTGTCATCACACGTTACTGTTGCGTGTCGTGGTGCTTGACCCTGAAGCGACCGCTCTTTTCTCCCCAAGACGCTGCAGCTCGAGCCTGTCGGAAAGCGACGGCATGAAACCGGGGCGACGCCACTCGCACAACGCGACGTCCGAGCGCAACAGCCCGCCTCAGCTGCCGTCGCCAACCCGCACCATCCACCTCCTGTCCGCCACCAAAGCTCCTCTCACCAACGTGGGTGAGTGACCCATTACCTCCACCTCAACACAGTGGCACTTTTTACAAGTACTGAATCGTGTTCTATCCCTTGCTTTGTACCAGAGGCGATTGGTCTAAGACCGCAAGGGAAGCTCAGCTTCCCCTAAAATGTCAAAAAATAAGTGATCAAATATATGGGTGTACATACAATTGTGTGTACATGTCATTGACTAAATATGCGTTTCTGGGAGTCTGTGGACAGTGTGGGCGTTTATGGGATGGCCCGGACGCTCAGCTTTTCTGCATGATGATTGGATGATCTCTCTGAGGCTGAATCTCTTTTTGATTGACAGCAAAATGAGCCAATCACCGATCTTTTGGTGTCGGCATCGTGGGAGCATTTTTCAATTCTCATTCTGTTCTGAGTTGAACTGGAGACTTCTTCTAATAATCTTAGCGACACTCTCTTGGTTTAAAACGACTTGCGACAGCTTAATGTTTTATTTCTGGTATGTTTTATTGTAGTTGCTTGTGTTCGCAGACTGACTTATATCACCACAGTTAAGACTCTGGAAAAGTCACCTTGTTGGTATGACAGGGTCACAGATCTTTTTCTTGAAAAGGAACGGAGAGTTGAATTCACGTATAAATAAACGGACACATTTTATGATGTAGGCCGAAATTGAGCTTCCCCCTCCTTGACACACCAGCATCCGCCACTGCTTTGTACACTGGGGCAGAGAGAGAAAATGACTTTCCTCCATTGTGCCCATAAAGTTGTGAGAATGAAACTCAACTCAACTCAACTGTATTTATTAAAGCACTTTCAAACAGCTATCGCTGCATACAAAGTGCTGTACATGAAACTCTCCGAAATGTCCTGATACGATGAATAATTAAGAACTTCTTCAAGTACTCTGGCTTCCTCCCACATTTAAAACACATGTGTTCGATTCACTGATAAAAATGTTCCATAGGTGAGCATGTAAATGTAAAATTTTGCTGGTCTATATGTGCCCTGCACTTAGCTAATGAGCAATCCATGGCTTAACCCTGACACTCACACGAAGTGAGCTTGGATAGTCCCCAGTTTACCCGCAATCTCAAGTAGGACAAGCGCTGTAGAAAGAGGACGCAATTATAAACTGTGTCAACTGGGGTAACAAAGGCAAAAAGCAAACAAAGCTAAATTTAGCATTTACTCTTCTCTTTTGCTGACTTTTGTGTGAACCGTATCCCTCCACTTTCTGCTCAATGTGTCCCTTTCTTTTTCTTTCGTGATAGTTGCCCCAATTTCTTCTTCCGGCACACCGAGGATATCGCGCTCCAACAGCATTGGGCCCCCCGGTGACTGCGAGCTTTACGGCTCCTCCCCCCTGGGCAGCACCGTGTCGCTGGCGGAGAGGCCCAAAAGCATGATGCGCTCCGGCTCTTTCCGCGAAACCGCAGATGATGGTGAGCCTTGAACAAAAAACAATTTTTAGCGCAGGAGGAAAAGGATAACTTTTCAGAGACCCCCAATAATCAGGCCTTTGCTTAATTACAGTATATCACAAGAGACGGAAAACGGCTCAACTTTCAGCCAATTGTAATATGCATGCAGCCAAATGAATATACCCCTCTGACTATGTCAATCAAAAGTGAGCATTGTCATCAATCAGGGTGACAAGCTACTTATGCAGTTCTTTAATTGGGGGTTTGATCATGCGAAATATGGTTGACATATTAGAGTCATACTTTTTCTCCTTTTGCAGTCCACGGCTCTGTGCTCTCTTTAGCTTCCACCGCTTCATCCAACTACTCCTCCTCGGTGAGTAAATTCTGTTTTCCTCAAAATGATGTGCAGGCCTTTCCACTTGAACGATAGCACTTTCAATGACTTGCAATTGCAGCAAAGGATATATTACATATATTCTAATATTGCTCTGTTTATGGTTATTATTTAGTCCAAAAAAATTCACAAAGAGCCCAAGTCGACGTTTGTTTCCTGCAATTTTAACACCTTCTACTCAAATTACCTCTCTCATTTTCATGCTTTTGCGATACCTTCTGTAGAATGAGGACAGGATCCAAGGGGAGGTAAGGCATCGCAACTGGGTCACTTTCTGTTGGATCGGGTCCATTTGTCAGTTGCTGTGTTGTTTTAAATGTGATATTAACGCTACCAAAAGCATACACAGAAGCCATTTTCACACTTCATAGCATTCTCTGAAAGCCACCATCATGCTCGGATTTCAATTCTGCCCATCAGTATGTACAGTGGGACTTCCACATGCCCTTTCCAGGATAAGTTTTTTTTTTTTTCTCAACTGTCATAAAATGTAAAACCAATTAAATCTAGCATTCACTTGGTGAGTTCTTCTTAAAGACAAAGAAATACTTTTCAGAATTACCATTTCTTAAGATGGTGAATGTTGGGTTTTTGATAGCTGTAAGATAGATCTGTACTGGCATTTATTGGGGAAAAGAAAAAAAAAGACCAAATATTTTACTCCCTGTGAAGGGAATCTGTACAAGAGACAAGTTTCACTTTTTGTTTTGAATTACTGAAGTTAAAATTAGTTTTCCACAATATTCTTTTTGGAACGTGTCATTAAAAACAAAAGAGGCATAGCCAACATAAAAAAACACACACACAACAAAACACGCACACAAATTTGTCATTTGGTACTTTGCTTAACTGGAGTGCAGTATCATTTCCATAGTTATTTTCTTTACTTTCATTGTGGCCCTTCTCAATGCTGTGAATTTGTTTTTTATGTTTGTAACAATAGACTGTTTGTGACATAATCACGACTACAGAAAACACTGCATCACTTTTGTTCTGTTCCTTGGTCCATGTAAAATTACAAATAATAAAAATAGCTGTTGAATGAGCCCACGGGTGATCTTTCGTCCTCAGCAAATCCGCAAACTGCGCCGTGAGCTGGAATCCTCGCAGGAGAAAGTCGCCGACTTGACCATGCAGCTGTCAGCCAACGTACGTATGACTAAGGCCCTTTGACTTTGACTTATTCTCTTTCTAAAACGATAACAAACACCTCTTCCACCTTTACCTGCTGCTTATCCGGACTTACAGCACACTGACTTGATTTACACTGCGTGATTCATGTGACACGAATGCATTTTTTCCCTGCTGTCAAGGCACCATTCTGAAATGAGTTACGGCAGCATAAAAAGCGCGGGGGGGGGGGGCAAGTGGAATGTGGTATCAGATCGGACACAGGCCTTCCGAATCTGTACATCAATAATGTAGATATTTGCCAATTGAATGCGAGTGCATTGTGACCCCACTACAGTATACAGTACTGATATTTATAATTGCCTGTAGGAGCCACCAGATGGAAGCAAACCTCTACAAATGTCTAAATCAGAGGTCTCCAACCTTTTTGAAACTATAAGAGCTCCTGCTTAGCGACGGATTCATGCGGAGGGCGACCAGTTTGATAGTATGCACTTTTGAAATCAATTTGCTCGAATGAAATTCATATGTTATCATTAATCATTCAAGAACCTATACCCACTTTTAAATCAATGAAGCAAAGAGTCAGCCTGCTCCAACTAAACACGATGTAATGTTTAATATTTGTATTTGAATGCACTATTGTTTATTTCTTTGTTGTCACCACCCGCTGTTGATATTAGTGGATTTATTTATGTGCCTTTTAGCAAATGCGCAGGATATGAGCATTAAATCGGAATTGGACACTTGAACCTTGCAGTGTAAATCCAGCTGTTAACACCAATTTAACGCTGACTCCCTTCCTGTTTTGACGCTTTTCACTTCTTTTCACTAACCCGGCAATTGATCAATATAACACCTCCTCGAATGTGTGTCAGTGTGTGCGTTATTCCCACGCCTAACAACCACTGTACTCTCTTTTATTTCTCTTGGCCTCTAATTGACTCGGGGGCTTCCTGCTGCTCGCTGCCCGTCCCCCTCCACTACCCGCTAACCGGTCATTCCCGTGGATGTTGGGTGTAACAGTTAGGCCAGGTTTGTTGGACTGTCGCTTGAGTGAAATAACATGCATCTCAAATAGGAATTGTTGGTTGATACAAATGTAAACTATACACGACTCACAAAAAGTTAGGGATACTGGATATTGGGCTTTTGGTTAAAATTTGAACCTAAAAGGTGAACTTCATTTGACCTGCTCTAAAGTTCGTTCAACTGTTTTTGCTAGGGTTGCCACCTTTCAGATCTGGAAATAAGGGGCACTCCTCACGGTGCTGTGGCAAAAAAGGAGTTTGGCTCCCCAAAAACCCTGAAATGCATAGAATTGCATGAATTTTTTTCCTATGAAAAAACAAAATACTTTGATTTAATTGACATTATTTAACATGTCATATTAGCCTCTGGGCCCTGGGGTCACTTGGCGGGTCAGCAAGGAAGGCATTCACACATACTTCATTAGCAATGAACCTTATTTTTTGTTTTTTTGTTTTTTTTAATAGACAGAAGTAGTCTGAACCTGAGCATAGCCTCTAGTCTATTAAAAAAGTGCTGTAAATCAGACTAAGATTTGTACTTTAACACTGAACAATTATGAAACACTTGAGCATATAGACCTGGCCCGCTGTATTGTATACATATAAAATGCTGTCAATTAAACAAAGCTTGTCTGGGGACACTTTTATTGAAAGAGGACAATAACTTAAATTATATAGCCTATAAAGTGCTGTCAACTGGGGAGACCCTTACTTTAGGAGGAAAAAAAAAAACCCAGTAAACATGTTCAAGTTTCAGTAGACTGAACTAGGCTGAAATTTAGCATACTGTATTACATGCATATACTGTAGAGTCCTGTAACATCTGTAACAAAGCCTGCCTGGTGACACTTTTACTGTAATAAAGATAACTAATAAAATTAAACACTTGTGTGAACGAAAATGAAAAGATTTAAAAAAAATGGCAGATTGCAAAATGCAGCGGCAGCGCAAAGGGGATTGGCTGCCTGCGTACCACCTGGCAATACCACGTTGCCGTCTTTAATATCTTCTGCCTTTTATTTAGTTCATTATTGTTCAATTCAGTGTTCACGTCTGTGCCTGACAGACGGCTGAGACAATTTGGAAAAAAACAGAACAAACCGATTGAACCAATCCAGGCGCAAATTTTCATTCCCAATTAACCCTTTCAGGGACAGCGGTAACTACAGTGGACAGCCTATCGTGTTATCAGGTTACAGGTTATCATTATTGGGGCATGAAAGGGTTAAAGGACGATTCCGTATTTTATGGGACAGGTGGCAACTTTAGTTTTTGCACAGCTTGCTGTTCTCTAACAAGTAGCTGACCAGAAAAAAAAAAATCACAACAGGGTTTTTTAGCCCTAAGCCAACCAATACATCTCCTGGTTATATTCGAATATGTCTTTTTATTATGCCCTTCACATTTTGACATCAACTATTGAACAACACACCTCCCCATTGTGAGGCATCCACAGGATGTTCTCATAGTGAAGTGAGCAGTGAGTGTCACAGTCATCAGTAAATTGCAACAGTGATAAAGAGCGACTGAAAGAGTCACAGAAAGGTAAAGACGTCGACATCCTTGGAAATTTTCATGGATCAAACGGCTGTTGAGATTTTTGTCATTCAGCTTCTTGGTAGTATGGACACATTGACCATCTCCATTAAAAAGTTTGGAGCAGCTCAAATTGAGGTCACATGCAAATGTTATAGTGCATTTTACGTTTCCCCTGAAATTTCATCCAAAAGCCGAACATACCACACATTTTGTGAGTAGTGTTTTATACCCCATCATGAGCCCAGTTCCGGTGCAACATCATTATCTGTCACGCCATCCACCACCGCTCAATATCCATTTGTCCTCTTCTGCTGTTGGAAGTCATTTTCTGATCTCGTGGACTTGTTGGTTGCAACTGGTGAACCTGAATTGAAACTCTCCATGCATGTCAAACAGGCTAACCTGGTCGCAGCTTTTGAACAGAGCCTGGCACTGATGACGGCTCGCCTGCAGACCTTGTCAGCTTCCTCTGAACAGAAGGTGGGTGAAATGATGTTACGATACGTGTGTATAATAGGAAGCAAATCTGGGAACAAAATACAAAAGTATCCTGGGTGTTTTCTGCCTTTGACACCCTTGAGCTGGTTTTGATGGATGGCTAAATGTGACTTGTCATGACACTGGGCGTGTCACCACTGATGTGTTTTGTCTCTCCCAAGGATTCTGAGCTGAACGACCTGAGGGACACCATCGAGATTCTGAAGACTAAGAACACCGAGGCCCATGACATCATTCAGGGTGCTCTCAATAATTCCGAGATTGTGTCAAAAGGTACAAAAAAAAATAATAATAATAATAATAATTTAGGTGTGTACTCACTTTTGTTGACAGCATTTTGTTGGGATGGTAAATTTACACTGTTAGACAAGCTTGACATTTAACACATTTTAAGTGTCATTTCTTCAATGTTGTCCCATCAAAGGTTATGAGACGCTTAGGGTTGTGCTCACCTTTGTGAGCTGTATGAATTGACATTTCTAGTGCTGTCCAGAACTACATGTGTGTCGCTTGTGCTTCAATTCTATTCAGAACTGCAGATAAATCGTCAGAACTCATCAGAAAGTCTCTCCAGCCTCACCAGCACCGCCAGCCACACGAGCATGGGCAGCCTCAAGGAACAGGAGGCCAAGAAGAAGAAGAAGAAGAGCTGGGTGAGAACGCAGGCATTCAACTCAGATTAAATGACGACAACTTTTACCGCGTGACAAACCAACCGAATCTTTCCCGCATGTGTTCATGATCCTGCTATTAAGCAACACTCTTGTCTCTCCCACATGCCGCCACCCATTTTTAATTTCAGGTGTATGAGGTGAGTTATGATGTCTTGTAAACCCTTTCTCTTCCCTTTTTTCCCTTGCACATTGTGGCCCTAAGCGCATGTTGTCTCGTGGTGTTCAGTTTACAGCAGCCAGACAGGTCAAATCGCATCTGCTCAGAATATGTACCGTATCCCTGCAAATAGTGGCATCAAGCACTTGGTGTCTATGCGATTGATTGAAACCATTTTACTCTCTTGCAACCCACTGCACAAACTAGTTGATTCTGTGATATTTTTAACCTTGAAATGTATGTTGGGACCATTGTAAATCGAGGAATACCTTAACTTTGTCTTGAGCAGATGTAAAAACTACAGTGGGTCATCCCTTCTTCCCTTAACAGTTACGCAGCTCGTTCAACAAGGCTTTCAGCAAGAAGGGCGCTAAGCCAACAGGGCCCTATGCCGACATTGAGGAAATTGCCACCCCGGAGTCGTCAGTACCACCCTCACCTAAAGTCAACCGCGTTGGGGCTGATCCTCCGCCATCGTCCATGAAAGCCTCAGCATCTGCGTCATCATCTGGGTAATGCTCCCTCTCCTGAACATACCTAACAATCAGAAGACAAAGTGCAGTAGTTTCACTCGAAACATGCGTAGGCTCTGTGAGGGAAGCGAAGTGGCGGATGACAAGGTTGTGTCTGACCTTCGCTCGGAACTGTGGGAGAAGGAGCGCAAACTGACCGACATCCGACTGGAGGCTTTAACCTCAGCCCATCAGCTGGAGCAGCTACAGGAGACCATGACCAACATGCAGGTATAAATGTATTTTGCTTTACAGCCCTAAAGCTGATAATAGAACGGAGAACCTCAAGGCTCCACTCAAGGTCCAATGCAATTCACCATACATACCCTGGTGATGGTAATGTTGAGTATCATACATTAAATGCAGATGCTATATTTTTATATCCTCGCATGTGTTACTCTTCCCCCGATTGATTTAAAATACTTGCTTGACTCGTCACTGTGCAATATTTTACTCCCTAAATGATGGACACATCTTTAGCGTAGCATATTTAGGCTATATTTAATCTTCTATGCTTTCACTGGTTTAGATATACAGCAGGTGGTTGTCAATGTGTTTCCCTGTTATGTGGGCAGTTATGGGTTTCGCATCAACGATGATGTCAAGCTGGCATTGATGGAGTGCATCCAGTATCTGTGTTTATACTCCACTCACATCAGCAGAATCATGATGTTCGGTTTTATTCCTCATTTGGAAGACACGTGATTACAATACAGTACCTTGTTTTCTCTTTACGCTGCAATGACTCATAACCCAATTTTTACTTTCATTTGAAATGAGAAAAAAAAAAGAAATTGTATCACTTGAACCATCATTTGAAATGAGAAAAAAAAAAGAAATTGTATCATTTGCACTGTAAAATCCAGCCTTAGTTACCATCACATATTCGACTTCACTCTCCTTTACATAAGATCTTACTGATAAGGTATTCTTATACCAACAGAAGACAGTGGACAATCTCAAGGTGGAGAACGACCAACTGAAGACAAGCGGCCTGTCCCCCTGCCCGTCTCCTGGACCCTCCAGTTCTGTCTCCCAGTCTTCAGGTCTCACTTCTCTCGCCAGCTTGTCACCACGACACTCTGTTGCAGTGCGTGATGCCAGAAGAACCAGTACAGGTATAGTTCAAACCCTGTCATGTCAGTTTAATCAATGTCCCTGTGTCAACTATCCAATTGTTGTTTCCTTCCAACAGATTCCATGGATTATGCCAGTCTGTCCTCGCAGCGAGATGACCATCGTGTCAGGGTGGTGGTTTGCGTTGCAGATTTGCTCGTCTTCAAAGATGTAAGTGTGCCGTTGTTGTCACCCCGTAGACACTGTGATACATGTGCATCACCTGCCTTGCAGGAGGTGAAACAGCAGGACTTCTTCCTTGGTACCGTCAGGGTGAATGGCAGGATGGACTGGCCCATGCTGGACTCTGCTGTCAGCCAGGCCTTCAAGGTGAGACCGCTTATTCTTTGAGTACGACCTGGCCCACGCGCAGAATGTGCCACCGGCTTACTGACGTTTGTAAATCAGCTGTTGCGTTTAATTTTAGGAAAGAGTAAAGAGTCCCTACTAGCGCAAGCAGTGCTGGAAACACATATGCAATAACTCCAGATGAACTCCTACCTTTGACGTTTGAGGAATTTGCAATTGTGTGAATGCTGGGAGACGAACATTAACACGACAGGGGCTCCTCTGTTTATGATACCGACATATAACATGTTGGGTTTACGGCCTCGAGTCTTTTTGAATATGAAGCCCCAAGCTTGCCGCAGTTTTTGCCTAATCACCTTTCAACGGCATCAGAAAATAAATTTAATTAGTGTTTCAACAAGGCTATATAATGTAAAAAGTGACGTGCTGTCAGTACTTTCCGGATACGATGTATATTGACCTATGACCATATCTGACTCATAGTTCTTTAGTTTGAATTTTGACTCCATCCTGTGTGGAATGTGCATACTCTCCACCATTTTCCAGATCCTTCCACATTCTCAAAACATAGTTTACATTCATTGGAGACTCAAAATTGTCCATACTGTAAGTTCCAATGTGAGCGTCAACGACTGACCGTCTAAAAGTGCCCTGCCATTGACTGGCGACTCGTCCAAAGTTTACCATCCATCAACTCTTCCCTTGCTAAAAAAATCGTTCTATTTCTAAAGCAGACAACGTGGGACCCAAAGCCCTTGGTTGGGGACTGAAACAATTTTTGTTACCCGAAAATGAGTCAGTAGCGCAGTATTATCAGTCATCGTGAACTAATCAGGTGAAGCAGTGGTCAGCACGTCTGCCTCACAGTTCTGATGTTCGGGGTTTGAATCTCAGGCCATGTCCTCTGTGCTCCAATTTCCACCGTAAGCATCTCACAGACTCTAGGAGGCATACGGTATGTACATACTGTATGTATTTCCTTTGTACTTTATCCGGGACACTGCCATATGTATAAACAAGCATTATCATTCTGGATTGCTTTCTTTTCTTGCCATTTCTTGGCCTTCATTGCCATGTCATTCATTCCAGGTTTATGTTGCCAAAGTGGACCCCACTTCCAGTCTTGGCCTTTCGACGGATTCCATCTACAGCTACAGCATGGGCCACATCAAGAGGGTGCTGGGAGGAGAGGCGCCAGAGACGCAGCCCTCTCGCTGCATGTCCCGAGGTCCCACCAGCATCACCGTGGCTCTCAAAGGTACAGATACAATTGAGCAGTATTGATGACCAGTTTTTTTTTTCTTGTTTTTGTTTTTGCACGAGGGTGGTTTTTATCATTACATGTATGTTTTTAAACAAACGTGTACCAGAATTTACTAGGTCAGCTAAAGTTTCTTATGCAAGCCCTCAAATGTGCTTGTTTTGATGCAGGCAAATCTTTTGATAAAAAGTTGCCGAGAATCAAATATTTATGACAAGTGTACATCCGAACCGATCATTACTTTTCACATTGAACAACTTTTCTTGGACCACTAATATACTCTACAGTGCTGACCTGAAAAACATGTTTTGTGGACGAACACAGCAAAACGATGTAAAAATCTTGTGTCGGTTTTACCTGGTCAGCTTAACACAAACGCAAACAACACCCACACCATTATGACAGTCGAAAAAAAAAATGGGGATTGTTTGTGTATGGTCTCTTGCATTAAAAATTATATAGTAACATTCGTTTAGAATAATTAAAAATATATATCCATGACAAAAAAGTATGTGTGTAGCCTGCTTAATTATTTTTATCATGGCGAATGACTTTTCACTTTCTGAGCAGATCAGGAAGCAAAAATGACTCTTGCAACACAACACTGAATAATCGCTCAAGATAATCTTCTGGAGAAATCTGCTAATCGGGCCTTTGCTGACTTTGATTGCAATGGAGGGAAAATGCTCACATTTGGCCAGATTGTCATTATATGTGAGTAGCCTGTTTAAGATGTTAAAAATCGTGTGTATTTCAAACAAACAAACAAACAAACAAACAAAAAAAACGTAATCATGGTCTCTGGGGAGAAAAGTCCAATTCTCCACATGAACCTCGGGACATGTCATGCGCATGAAAAAAAGTCAGGGTGAAGCAGCAAATCAAATCGAACTCCTGCGTAACTTGATGCCCCTTAATTTTGTACCAGCCGGGTCCAGCTGGTCGACCCACCGGTCCCCTGTGGATGTCAGTACGGAACCTTGCACTTACGCGAGCTGGTGGACTCACTCACACTTGCTACACTGGAAGTTATTTTCAGAGCCAAATGCTTGGGCAACACATTGCTTATGGAGGGCATGCGAGGCGATACCTAAATTAATCTGTGTGATGCCTTCTTCCTCCCGCCATCATTATTTCTTTAATGAGCGTTGAACTGAGTATGTTTGTCGTCCTTAAATTGAGGTTGATCAGAAGTAGGCCGCCTATTGTGTCTCTGTGTTTAACTCATATTGACTGGGATGTGAAACTTGGAAATGACATTTATGGACTTAGAGAAATTTGAACCCCATTGGCGTGGATGATGGTGTTCTAATTAACAGCCCCAAAATAACATTGTCTCAAAATTATACTGGTGTCATTCCAAATTGCAAAAAGTCCAGGTTACCCCTGTTAATCGCGAGGATTTATTCCACACCCATCCACAACAGTCTGGGGTATAGAATAAATAAACCCAATTCAAAAAAGAAAATGTTAACAGTTATACCCTTCACCCTTTTAACACATTTAAACTTATTCAAACACGTTTTGAATACACTGTATTGTAAATGTGACCATAAAAAATATTTGCAAGTTCACGTGCATCGTCAGCTGTGGCTCTCCTTTTCCATTTGTAAGGGCATTCAAATTAGTAAGTGTAAAAGTACAGTCCAAGCTCCCCTAAAAAAACAATCACTATACACCGTAAATTTCAGCAATACAGCACCGATTTACATAACAGATATGTAGATTAAGTTCCAGAAAAAAAATTGTGAGATGTAACGGGGGCCTGGTCAGTGTGCTTAAGTCAGAACAGCTGCACTGCTGCAGTTTTTTTGTCTGTGCGGATTCTCCGATCGACTTAAGTGTGTCAACAATGCACCTTCATGAAATGTACGCACTCTGGGTGGGGCGGCCTTTAACATTTGGCTGTGACGCAGACAAATTTCTCAATGCGCGCATTCTCCTGAAAACAGAAGTGTATTTTGGACTCTGGACTCTGGAAGGACTCTGGAAGCTGGACAAAGGCAAAACATCACGCAGTATTGCACGTTTTGAATCATTTCACATACTCTGGAGCATATCACTGGCCGACTCAAAATGATTCATGCTGACGTGTGGCTGCGATGGGGCATGGGGGAGGGGGGACGAGGGGATACGCTTATTGACTGCCCAACGGCTTGACCACTCACTGAATCATGCCTCGTTGGTGCTTGTACACATGGTGGGTGTGTCTGAAGCCTAGACGGGAGAATCGCCATGTTTTGAAAGTGCGGAAGAAAGGCACCTAAGAATATGCCCCTAAATCGGTCTCTCTCAATCATTATTCTGTTACGCCCCCTACAAAGACGAAAACATTTTGCGCACCCCAACTCTCCAGTGCAACTATAAATAGTATCATTTGTTGAGAAAATTGTTATAAGTTCAACTCTGCATGACATTGTATCATTATCATGAAATAAAACAGAAAAATGAAAGAAATATAGATTACTATAGTACAGATGAAAGTCTTCCGGATTTTCCCGGAATTCTGGATTTTCAAATTTTCATGAAATTTCTTCCGGAAAATTGAGGAAAAATTGCCTAAAATTAATCCGGATATGAGTTGACAACATTGAACGAACACGCATTTGAGTTTGTTGTTTTGCTTTCACGAGCGTAGCCATGTTTGTGTAAACTAATTCATGCGTGATCAGTCAGGATGAGTGGCTACAATGACCACGTTTTACAGTGCACAGCCATGCAAGTCTAAGTGCACACGGTCTGTAACCTAAACTTGTAACCTTCCGTGCCTTTGTATGATCGCCAGGGCTCACTGTTGTAGTTCTCCCCCCCTCCATTGCAATATTTGCAAAAAGCACTCCTGGTGCTTGATAGGGATCTGTCATTTTCAACCTGCCCATCTTACGCATATATCTCATGACATTCTTTTCATCAAAGTGAAATGTGAATTCAATCAAAAGGAATGTTGATTGATACACGCTTATTTTATCATTGTGCTCCATTGCAAATCCTTCGCCTGCGGCCCCCAACTACCCTGCTAACATGGTTGCGTGAACGAATGCACGTGGGGATCAGTCACGTGATATCCGGAGCGCTATCCTGCCTGGCGCACGCTGAGACTGAGAGCACCACTGCCATCTGCTGTGTAGTAGTAATAGTGCAATTGCACTTACCTAGTATCTTCTTCTTCTTCTCCTTTCGGCACGTCCCTATTCAGGGGTCGCCACAGCGAGTCAGTAATTTCCATCCGCCCCTGTAAACCGTCCTACCAACTCGCATGGTCGTCTTGGCAAAAGTTTTACGCCGGATGCCATTCCTGACGCAACCCTCCCCATTCCTCCGGGCTTGGGACCGGCACTGGGGAACAGTGCACCCCCAGGGGAGGGCACTGCCCCCCAGCGGCTGGGTTGCACTTACCTAGTATGACAAAATAAAAAATTTAAAAAAAACATGTTCTCCGGGGTAACTCGCACCTCCACTAGGATCGCAGGGGGGCGCGCCCCACTATTTGAGATCTGGGCCAATTGTTATGAACCCTGTTATATAAATGCAGGACATCTTTTGTCTTTGTCTTCATCCGTGTCTGCCATTTTGATTCCCAGGTTTGAAGGAGAAATGTGTTGACAGCCTCGTCTTCGAGACCCTCATTCCTAAACCCATGATGCAACACTACATCAGCCTGCTGCTCAAACACCGCAGACTCATCCTCTCCGGACCAAGTGGAACGGGTAAGACCTACCTGGCCTCGCGGCTGGCCGAATATCTGGTGGACCGTAGCGCCCGCGAAGTCTCCGATGGCATTGTGGTGACCTTCAATATGCATCGTCAGTCCTGCAAGGTGAGAGGAAAGATGGTCACACCACCTGTCTCATTCTTCAAATAAGCATTTCAAAAACCTTTATTTCCATTCTCTTCCCCCAGGACCTCCAGCTGTATCTTTCGAACCTGGCCAATCAAATAGATAGAGAATCCAGCTCGTCAGAAAATCCTCTGGTCATTATCGTGGACGATATTCACGATCCGGCTTCAGTCAGCGAATTGATCAACGGAGCGCTGACATGCAAATATCACAAATGGTAATCTATGCATAAAATGACATTTAAAAAAAATATGGTACCATAACACCCCGCCTATTGGTGATTTGCTAATGCCAAAGTTTTGGGGTAACTTGTGCTACTGTCATCTTTTTTTTGTTTTTTTTGTTTTTTTTTGGTGCTCACGATTGTGCCCAAGTTTGTGCCAAAGCAAAAGCCCTAAATAGGAATCGGTCTCGACTATGAAATGAAATATGTTGAAGTCGAACACCTCGACTTTGCAATAAGCTTTGTATGTCAGGGATAGGTATAGGTACAGTGATACCTCGGTTTACGAATGCTTCCACTTCCGAACTTTTCGCCTCACAAACATTAAATTCGCGAGCATATAGTCTCGGTGGACGAACTAGTTTTCGGCGGACGAACCCACCACGCGATCGAGCAGTGCCACGGTGGCGGCCACTAGAAGCTGACGCACGCTCTTCGGCGTCCCAGTTCGTCACCCCCTTTCTTCGAGTGAGGACGTGATTTGTTTGAGCGACATTTTGGACCATATTGAGTGCACGTTTGCGATTATGGGACCGAAAAAGACCCCACCACAGGTTTGTGTTAAGCCGAAGAAGACGAAAATTACGATCGAGCAGAAAAAGGACATGATCGAAAAACACGAACGAGGTGTGCGTTTGCGTGACTTAGCATCACAGTATCAATTAGCTAAGTCTACCATTGCTTCCATCCTGAAGAACAAGGGAGCTATTAAGGGTGCGTGTGTGGCTAAGGGTGTTTCTGTGTTGTCTAAGCAACGGTCTCAGGCAATAGAAGAGGTTGAAAAACTTCTGTTAATTTGGATAAATGAAAAGCAGCTAGCAGGGGACAGTGTGAGTGAGGGTATTATCGCCGAGAAAGCACGGCAACTTCACTCGGATATCATCAAGAGGCACCCTGGAAGTTCGTCATCCATTAACCCATTAAATACCGTCACAAAGGAAAATAAAATGACTTTATTATACAGTACAGTGTGTACAGTGTTTCTTTAATTACAATACAATTGCACATTCATTATACATAAAATAAGGTATATTTTTGTGCAGTTTTAAGGCTTATTTAGTCGAAAATTATTTTTTATGTGGACCTAGGAACGGATTATTCTCATTTTAATGGTTTCTTATGGGAAAAAAATGTTCGGAATAAGAACTTTTCGCCTTACACACACTTTCTCAGAACCAATTATGTTCGTAAACTGAGGTATCACTGTAATTGACATTATATTATCTTAATTTTTTTGGGGGGGGGGCGCCAATAGTATTATTGTGGGAAATTAAATTAAAACACCTTTTGACTTGTGTGACTATGTTTCCGTCTTTAGTCCATACATCATCGGAACAAGCAATCAGCCAGTGAAGATGACTGCAAACCACAGCCTCCACCTCAGCTTCAGGTCAGTGATGTCATTCTAACATCCGTAAAAAAATACAAATAAACAAGTATGACATATTGTAGTGGCAGGCCGCGGCTTTCAGACGTCAGCCTTTACTAAGACATCTGCCCCCCTTTGTCTCAGGATGGTGACCTTCTCCAACAACGTGGAGCCCGCCAATGGCTTCCTGGTTCGCTACTTGCACAGAAAGCTGATGGAGTCTGAGGACGAGCGGAACCTGACCAACGAGGATCTGGTCCGTGTGCTGGACTGGGTTCCCAAATTGTGGTATCACTTGCACACCTTCCTGGAAAAGCACAGCACGTCCGACTTTCTCATTGGTAGGAAATCCTGATCAAAAATTTGAAGGATATCTTGGCGTCCATGCATGAATGTGTTCTGCCGTCCTCTCCTTAGGCCCGTGCTTTTTCCTGTCCTGTCCAGTCACGGTGGAGGAGTTCCGGTCATGGTTCATTGACCTTTGGAACCATTCCATTATTCCTTACTTGCAAGAGGGAGCCAAGGACGGCATCAAGGTGAGAGTCCACAATCACACACACAGTTATTTACATTGCTGAAGTACTGAGTGGGAATTGGGGACTAGTGGTTAGCACGTCTGCCTTACAGTTCTGAGGTTCTGGGTTTGACTCCCAGTTCCACCATTCCTGTATTGAATTTGCAATTTCTCCCTGTGTGTGGGTTTTTTTTTCTGTGTACTTTGTTTATCCCACATTCCAAAGACTTGCATGCCATGGTCATTGAAGACTAAATAGTCCACAGTTGTTAATATGTGTGTGAATGGTTGTTTGATGCGGTGCATTTGTGAACGTGGACATAAATGGTTGTTTGTTTCTGTATGCCCTGCGAATGACTGGTAACAAGTCCCGGCTGGAGCCCACCCTTTGCTCAAAGTCAGCTGGGATAGGCTCCATTTGGGTCTGATAAATGAGCCCAAGCCTTCTTTCAGAGAGTAGTTCCTGTGTTCCAAACACACTGGCCTCTTCAAAAGTTGAACCACGCTAAAAGCTGACGGCTTCCTTTTCAAGGTGCTCTAATTTTACCCTCCTGTTATGCTGCAGTTCCATGGCCAGAAAGCGGTCTGGGAGGACCCTGTGGAGTGGGTGAGGGGCACCCTGCCTTGGCCTTCTGCCCAGCAGGACCAGGCCAAGCTCTTCCACCTTCCTCCCCCAAGCATCGGCTCCAGTAGCCCCGGTCAGGCCGGCGAGGAGAAGTCACGCAAGGAGACCACGCCCAGCTCAACAGAATCTGATCCATTGGTAAGCGAGATCACCTCGTGCCATGCGGCGAAAATGAGTGCTTTTATTTGAAATGGACGCGAACGTGTCTTCTCTGCTTTTAGATGGCAATGCTTTTGAAGCTTCAAGAGGCTGCCAATTACATCGAATCACCAGACAAAGACGACCCCAGCCTGCCAAGACTGTGAATAAGCTCGTGCGTTAAAAAACACTCATACCGAAAAAAAAGTCATTGTTACTCGTTTGCTGGAATGACAGCCTGCTGTTCATTCGAGAAAAAAAGGTTTTAGGGTGATTTTGAAGCGTCATTCCGACCATGGGAAGTTAAAAGTGAAAATCTTACAGCATTTTTAAGAAAGTACAACTGTATTTAAAAAATATATCTACACTGTATGTACAGGGGGTCCTCAGTTTCTGGCAGAGTTCCGACGATGGCAATGTAACCCAAATTTCTATATAATTCCGAATGCACTGTCATCTACCATTAAGCTACACTGACCATAAATTTCCTGGTTCAATTAGGATTTGTCATTCAGACACTGTAAAGCCAATTCTGAGATTTGCTTCAAAATACACGTTTGAAAATAATCACTGAAATCAATAAACCCTTCGAACTATGTCCGGTCACAACCAATTTTGGAGATAAAGCTTTAATCTTTTACCAATCCTTTTTCCTGATACTTTTTTTTGGAGGGGGCGGGGGGTGCTAGGCTTTTACAGTGTCTTTGTGACACACTTCACTTGCCTCCCATGCTACGTAAGAACTTGGGTTGCAATTCTGAGTTCACTAGTTTTTATTATTCGGCTAGCTAGTGCCTCCCTTCGGGGCATTGAAATACGCAGAACAACGCAGTGGGATATTATTTCAGCCACCAGAGGTTTTAAGCAGATAGATTTTTGTGACTCAAACACGGAGATATGCGTAGGCATAAGAAAGAGGCCCGCAGCGTCTATTTTGAAGCCTCATTCTACATATTTTTTTGCAATGTTTGTCGTCAATCAAATTTGGCGGGTTCGACAACAACATTCTTCTGTGGTGTGCAAAATTTAAAAGACATTTTTAGAGGTCATCTGGGAAGGCATTTTGGGTTCATCCTGAAATTCCTCCTAAAATCCAAATATTTGTAAATACCGTTCAGCGTATTCTTACGCGGCTCACAGTGTCCGTAGCCTCGAAATGATGTATAGCATGTCGGGATCATCATAATCCGAGGACCCCCTGCATATATTGACATGATTCACTTCACGTCCGTTGACCACCTCTTTGCCCTCAATCATCTTCTTAGATTGGTGCTAATAAACACTTCAGGTGATGTCTAAACCAGCACATCCTCCGAAGCGCAGCAAGGGGATACTTTGTGCTCGTCCACTGAAGCTGTTCTGAAATGCAATGCAGAAGGGGAAAAATAAATCAATAAAAAGAGTATGACAGCACGATGGAAGTTGCTGAAGTTCATATCTGCTGGATCCGTCTCTTAAAGCCAAATGTTACGCATTATGCAATCCACTGGAGAAAAAAAAAAAAAAAGATGCCTTAACGAACAAAAAACTTCACTGGTGCTTACGTCAGCTTAGCTCCTCCCATTAGCAAGTTTCAAAAGCCTTTCATTTTCTGCCACGAGTCCTCAGTTTGAACTTGCATATCCATAATCGCAAACTGGAAAATGTTGCTGTCATACTCTTTTTTTTTTTTTCCCTCTCTCTCTCCACAAGTCTTCTAGCAATTATGTATTTGAGCTGCTTAACCTTAAAACACACACAGGATCACCACTGCTGCCATGTACAGCCTACCAGGTATTACATCCACAATTGCTCCACCAGCAGGAGGAGAATGATGACACACTTTGATTCCACGATCTTAAAACTCAACGCAAGGGTTACTTAGTGCCACACAGAATGCACTTGCATCTTAATTTATTTCAGTCCAAAAATAAAACGTATATTTTAAATAGACTCACGACACGCAGTGTGAAATCCATCCGTCCATCATCAACAGCGCTTACCATGAACAGGGTCGTCAGAGCCTAGCCCAACTGACTTCGGGGGGAAGCCGGACTACACCCTGAACTGGTCACCAGTCAGTCGCAGGGCCCACATAGAGACAACCTTCACGCCGACATTCACTGAGTGGGAACCGACCCCACACTGCCCCCACACAAGTCAGGCGAGTGTACCACCACACCATCAGCGAGTCGCAGTGCCGAAACGTTCATCAAAAACAAGGCAGAGCTCCATTTTATTTTGTTAAGTGGCTGCAGAACAATAGAATTCTCTGGATTTCGTTAATTTTTTTTAAGATGCATCGTCTATTTTTAAAAAAAATATGATCTGGATCCAGATGATTTTATTTCTTGCAACCACTTGACAAAATAAAGCGGAATCAATTCAATTCACCTTTTTTTTTAAGTGTGGAAAAAAACTGTTTTAGTTGAACATTAGCACTGCACTTAAGTAAATTATCGGAAAGTAAAAATGGTTCTAAATAATGATCCACTAAAAAAAGTAAGGCACTTAAACTAGATCAAGACTGTACTTATCTTTGAAATCAAATAGTTGTAGAAGGTTAAAATGTGACTTGATTGTACTTAAAAGTTAAATACAATTGAATTGTACTTCTGGTTCAAAGTTCAATCCACTGTAATATGATGAAAAGGGATTCTGTGTGCCACATTATGAGAATCACTGACCGACGTGTATCATTTTTCATGCTTGAGTGTGGCCCTAATACTCCTTCAAAAGTGTTGGAGTTCCTTACAGCCTAATGATCACATGTGAAAACATTGTTCCAAATCATGTCTGAGGGTACACATGATTGTTGAAACAACAATCATCAAGGAAACAACAAAAAGTATCGAACATGTAGCAAAAATAATGAGTTAAAAAGAAGAGAAACAGCCGAGGAGAAAGACTTTAAAGCCACCTATTTCATCGTCCAATCACATCATACACTTCATCAGAAGAATTAAAAAAAAAAAAAAAAGTTGCATTTTATCGACATTTGGGTATGTTTGGTGCTTTTCACGTTGTTCGATGTCGAATATCATGTAACGATTCAGGGTAGGTTGGCCAGATTGTTATCGTTAAATAGATTTTTAGAGTAACTTTTTTAAGAGAAAAGTGGCGTCGCGTAAGACATTGTACCATGCGTAATGATCATGACCTTGTGACGGTATTCGCGGATGGCTCCAGTCATGTATTTATTTATTTTTGTGTGTGTGTATGTAAAATATAGATTGTTTCTAAAATAGAAAATGACTGTATTTAAAAAAAAAAAAAAAAAGGGTACACTCATTGCGTTTGCTGACTTTGTTCACAAAATGCTCAAATCTGGCCTCGGTGTGTGTGTCCCGCTTTAAGGATGTCATGTTGAATGAACTTCACGTGTGTAATCATATCAATAAATGTCCAGACATTTTAATGTGAGATCATAAATGATATGTAAAGTTTAAAAAAAAGTCGCTTGGTTACGAATTGCCGACTCTGATTGGTCAAAGGAGTGAATAGAAAGATGAATTTCACTCACAACATGGGATTTAAAGACATTTTTTTTTTGTAAATATGTTGGCCTTGTTACCCCCGCCCCCCGCCCAAAAAAAAAAAAACTGGACTGGTTGTTTTGCTTATCTTTGTGCCGTAGCCATGACTGGTTTTGTACTATACAGCAACTTCTGCTTGGGTTTTTGCCAATGTCGGACGTTCCAGTTGTTAATTCGGGAGTGAAGGGATAACCCGGTGAGCCTTAAAACGATGGTTTCGTCAGGGGCGTTATGTTGGAAACAGGGTAAATCGACCTCGTTTGAAATAATGGTCAAGATCTCCATTTCAAATTGAAACTTTAATTCCAAAACAGGTGGAAAAAGCACTTTGAATGGGCGTAACCCCAAAAACTAAATGGAGGCCGTTACAGGTTGCTGGATAGTCATATTCTTTTTTAGAAAGTTGTCGTCAACTGAACAGTAAATATCGGAGAGAAAAAAAAAATGCTATGGGATTTCTTGAAATGTTCAGGATTTTTCTGTGTTGTAAATGCATGTAAACTTGCTATGTGACCACTAGGAAGATCATTTGTTTTTGTTTTCTTTTTTTACTACTCCGATATTTGATATTTCCTCTTCTTTTCTAAGAATCCTTTATAAAGGTTAAGTTCTCTATTTTGTACGAAACGTTATTGTAAAGATTGTAAATATGGCAGCGTTCTGGATGCACGGCAAAAAAAAAATGGTTCAGAGTTGGGTTCCGATAAAAACATGGATAGGTTTAACGAAAAGCGCTGGGCGGGCTCCATTACTGTACATCCACCACCCGTACAACCAACCACTGTTTGTTCAAATCAATAAAGTACATGTTATATTTCATCGCCTGCTTCTTGTCACTTCATTGAATCAAAAAAAGAAATTAAAACGTCTGATTTCTTGAGCACCGTAACGCTCTCTGTGCATCAAGACAACAAAAAAATTTTAAAAAATCTCCAGTTTTTGTGAAATTGGCTCTAATCATGGCCAATCTTTCTTTTCACGACAGATTTTGAAAAAGACGTCTGGGACTGGGTGACACGATGTCTTTTCGTTCCACTTGGTGCCACTTCATAATGAATTGCCTTTCGTCGAAAACTCTCATGAGCGTCGCCGCCATGGTAGTACATAAGTGACATGTTTTAAAATGTATACTAAATAATTGGCTAACACACTGTAAATGATACAATAAATTGTCATTACATTTTACATTCATTGGAATATTTAATTGTTAGTTTATTGGAGTTACTCAAATTAAAAACAAGAGTATGAAATATTAATTTTTCTATCAAATGTAATTATTTTTTCTGAAAAAATGGTACATTTATTGTGACTACAACAATAATTTAAAAAATGCCTTATTTTTTTTTTTTTTTTTTACTTTTTTGTTTTTCAAACAATTAGGCCAAACTATTCGTAAAAGAGGCGGCCCACAGGTCCAGTGGTTAGGGCGTCAACCTCACAGTGCAGAGGTTGTGGGTTCGATCCTGCTCCGGCCTCCCTGTGTGGAGTTTGCATGTTCTCCCCGGGCCTGTGTGGGTTTTCTCCGGGTACTCCAGTTTCCACCCACATTCCAAAAACATGCATAGCAGGCTGATTGAACACTCAAAATTGTCCCTCGCTGTGAATGTGAATGTGGATGGTTGTTCGTCTCTGTGTGCCCTGCGATTGGCTGGCAACCGGTTCAGGGTGTCCCCTGCCTACTGCTCGAAGACAGCTGGGATAGGCTCCAACCCCCCTGCGAGCCTTGTGAGGATAAAGCGGATTGGAAATTGGATGGATGGATGGATGGATGGATGGATGGATATGAGTAAAAGAAACAATTTCACTTAATTTTTTCAATAAGCTGCGATAAATAATTGGTGAACACTTTTTTTGTGAACGTTCAATAGAAAAACAACTCTAATAATTAGTAGCTAAGAGTTTTACACATAACTGTACATGGAGAAACAAAAACAAGTGGTTATTTATGATATGAAAAATATTCAATTATGATAAAACTACTGTATATTTGCTCTGATTTGATTAAGTATTGATTCAGTAATGTTCATTTAATTGATTCACTTCATGGGTGAATTCCTTGAGACTTGCCTACATGATTTTGGAGCTTAAAACTTGACTTCTTTTTCCATTTGTAGCTCAATATTGTGCCGAGTTGAGCGGAGGTGTCAATTGCGCCCATTCCAAAGGGGGCTGGGCCTGTCTCTTGGTGGGGGTCTATTTAATGCTCCTCTCCACTGCAGACGGTGGCATTGGATACAAGTCAAGGACGTCTTGTCGTGTATGTGTGTTTGTATATGTGTGCGCCAATTAGGAATTTCAACGACCAACATGCCGTCCAAGCCTGCCCCAATCAAGAGGAAACCCGGCAAGAAGATTGAAAAGGCGCCACAGCCCCCACCTGAGCCAGAGCCGACTCCCGCTCCCGAGCCAGCTCCAGAGCCCACACCGGTCGTTGAGGCCCCCCCGGCCGAGCCTCCCGCTCCGGCGTCGGATGCGGCGCCCGCCGACGCCGAGGCGGCTGCACCTGCCGAGGCTGGTGCGCCTGCGTTGGAGGGAGAGGCCCCCGCTGCTCCCCCGACCGAAGGGGGTGAAGCCGCACCAGCAGACGGTAAAAAAAAAAAAAAAAGTCTCCTGCTGAGCTCACTGTGTGGAACTTGAAGGGTTTCTCCAAATTATTTTTACACCGTGGGAAGATGCTGGTCTTTCTGCATTTTTGGAGACAAATAGAAAACAACTTTCTCACAACAGCATGACAAAGTCATTTTAATGTTGCCTATACCAGTGTTTCTCAACTGGTCGGTCGGGATCCAAAAGTAGGACATGGACAGCTAGTAGAAATAATAATATTCATTTTTATTTGGATTTTTCTGCTACAGTACTGAACTGTACCAAATTCCCACATGGAACAAATTAGGCAAGCAAGAGGAAGTGCAGTTGCCTCACGCTTTAGCCAATAATTTACTCTGTAAACAATTACAGTGCAGCTCAGCCCGTGGTTGGCAGACATCATGGCGAGGAATATGCTTTTAGCGGTCGGGCAAATTCATTCTAAGCAGCTTTTGAAAGTAGAACATACAATACACGTGTTCTCGGAGCTACTTTTAAATAAAACGTGTTCTTTATTGTTCTTAACGTCTTTAAAAGTGGGTCGCGATGAAGAAACAGGCTAATATTAGCGGGTGCAGCGGTGACCTAAACCATGTGCAGAAGACAATTCATTGTTAATTCACACTTTGTTACATTTACAAACTAACCGAGCGCATGCCAAAAATAAAAAGGCAGAATCTTTCTTTTTGTCGGAATTCCCTTTATTTATTTATTTATTTGTTTATTTATTTTTAAAATAAATTGAGCACCGTGTTGGTGGAATCAGTACTCTCGACCCTCAAAGTGGGTTGCTGCGAAAATTTCTTTGGAGAACTAGGTTGTCTGTCAAGTCTACCCCTCCGCTACCACACAACAGTTTTTAAATTTAAAATGTCATTAAATTTATGTAGCTTGACCCTCGCATGCAGGAGACAAAATACAACACTGGCATTGTCTCACACCGATGCATTAAGTGTTCAACATCCGTCTGTCTTCACCATGCAACTTGTCATCATCCGAGGTCAATGTGAATAGCTTGCACTTTAATTCAGTTTTGTCACGTTTTCACCACCTCCTCACAGATGCTCACTGTTAAAAATTCTCTTAAATTGTAGACTGTCAAAGTTGTCATTTGGGCATGAAATGTAAACTCCCCGCCATTATAACACCTCGCCAGATGCTCCATCTTCTGTTACAAACACCTGCCCGCCCAATGACGGCCTCCCAAAAAAAAAAAAAGTTGATAGCTGCCGACATGTTCTAAATTGGTCTACATTGACTTCTGAACGTGGGGAAACAAAATACAAATCGTACTCCAAACATCGCATTACAGCCGCGCAGCATTTGCACAACTCGCTCTGGTGCGTCTGTTACATTGTACGTGATTGAACAATATCGCTCCACAATGAAGTGACATTTCATGAAACATTTGTACGTCTAAAGGTCTCCACACCAGATAACTAACACCTTCCCTCTACTTACTTACTTTCTAAAGATTACTGAAGACTTACGGACTTGCCATTTGAACATTATAAATAAAAGAATAAACAGCTCACTATCTATTATTCCACACACTTGCCCGCCAATGATGCACTCATTTGATCACATACTCATTTTTATTCATAGCTACTACTCTGCAAAAACAAACTGAAATTAGAGATTTCAAAATCAATGCAAAATACAGTATGCTGAGGCTTTGTATGCCAAGATATTGCTTCTTACCTGACAGTTTGTGTAAAAAAAAAAAAAAAAGTCTCCTGCTGAGCTCACTGTGTGGAACTTGAAGGGTTTCTCCAAATTATTTTTACACCGTGGGAAGATGCTGGTCTTTCTGCATTTTTGGAGACAAATAGAAAACAACTTTCTCACAACAGCATGACAAAGTCATTTTAATGTTGCCTATACCAGTGTTTCTCAACTGGTCGGTCGGGATCCAAAAGTAGGACATGGACAGCTAGTAGAAATAATAATATTCATTTTTATTTGGATTTTTCTGCTACAGTACTGAACTGTACCAAATTCCCACATGGAACAAATTAGGCAAGCAAGAGGAAGTGCAGTTGCCTCACGCTTTAGCCAATAATTTACTCTGTAAACAATTACAGTGCAGCTCAGCCCGTGGTTGGCAGACATCATGGCGAGGAATATGCTTTTAGCGGTCGGGCAAATTCATTCTAAGCAGCTTTTGAAAGTAGAACATACAATACACGTGTTCTCGGAGCTACTTTTAAATAAAACGTGTTCTTTATTGTTCTTAACGTCTTTAAAAGTGGGTCGCGATGAAGAAACAGGCTAATATTAGCGGGTGCAGCGGTGACCTAAACCATGTGCAGAAGACAATTCATTGTTAATTCACACTTTGTTACATTTACAAACTAACCGAGCGCATGCCAAAAATAAAAAGGCAGAATCTTTCTTTTTGTCGGAATTCCCTTTATTTATTTATTTATTTGTTTATTTATTTTTAAAATAAATTGAGCACCGTGTTGGTGGAATCAGTACTCTCGACCCTCAAAGTGGGTTGCTGCGAAAATTTCTTTGGAGAACTAGGTTGTCTGTCAAGTCTACCCCTCCGCTACCACACAACAGTTTTTAAATTTAAAATGTCATTAAATTTATGTAGCTTGACCCTCGCATGCAGGAGACAAAATACAACACTGGCATTGTCTCACACCGATGCATTAAGTGTTCAACATCCGTCTGTCTTCACCATGCAACTTGTCATCATCCGAGGTCAATGTGAATAGCTTGCACTTTAATTCAGTTTTGTCACGTTTTCACCACCTCCTCACAGATGCTCACTGTTAAAAATTCTCTTAAATTGTAGACTGTCAAAGTTGTCATTTGGGCATGAAATGTAAACTCCCCGCCATTATAACACCTCGCCAGATGCTCCATCTTCTGTTACAAACACCTGCCCGCCCAATGACGCACTCCCAAAAAAAAAAAAAGTTGATAGCTGCCGACATGTTCTAAATTGGTCTACATTGACTTCTGAACGTGGGGAAACAAAATACAAATCGTACTCCAAACATCGCATTACAGCCGCGCAGCATTTGCACAACTCGCTCTGGTGCGTCTGTTACATTGTACGTGATTGAACAATATCGCTCCACAATGAAGTGACATTTCATGAAACATTTGTACGTCTAAAGGTCTCCACACCAGATAACTAACACCTTCCCTCTACTTACTTACTTTCTAAAGATTACTGAAGACTTACGGACTTGCCATTTGAACATTATAAATAAAAG